TAGGAAGTATAGGCTTGCGATATCTTATTTAAAAGGTATCTTCATTCTATATTCAAAAATACTGTGATTTTAAAATTTATAGCAAAAAATAATATTAAAAAAAAAAATTCATCTGATCGACGAAATTCGCTACAACACCCTAAACAATTAATAATAAATAAATAAATAAATAAATAAATAAATAAATAAATAAATATGGTTTTATTGGCATGTGAAAATTACAAAATTAAAATAGTATAATTTATTAAAAATAATTAGCCAAAAGGCAAAGTTCAGCTTTCAGATTTGCATAAGCAAATATAGAAGCTGCTCTTCCACTCAACCTCAATAATGGAATTGCAGTCTTGATAATGAGAAAACAAAGAAAAACAATTTCAATTGCCTTTTTCAACGGTACTAACAAAAATAGTATATTACATACATTAGGAGTGTGGAAAGTGACATTTTTCACACGAGTGGTATATTGTGGCACGAAACATAAGCCGAGTACCATAATCACACGAGTGTGAAAAATCACTTTCAGATAAGTGATGTACAATATTTTTCATACGACCATAAAATAATTTCATAAAAAATGTAAAACTAGGAAATCTGGTTATAAAGGTCGGTGGTGTAGCGGTCTAACGCGCTTATATTCATTTATAAGAAAGTTTATGTGTCAGAGACTGCTGGGCTTCGAATCCCAGACCAGACCATGTGGATTTTTAATTAAATTGCATGGTTCGGTATAGGATTTGATGTGTGCCGTATTAATATAAATTCAATTTCTGTTGATATGACATGCAGATTATAAAAAATCGCCATACATTACCGTCTCGATGATGATGGGTGAGGTTTTCCGGGTTTTCCTCACCTGTAAGTGAAATGGCACCATCAATCATCTTTAAGTCGCCACGGAGCGCTACGGCAAATAATAATAATAGCCGCCCCTTTCCCCGCACAAGCTCAGCTTTTGGGGTTAAAATTAACTCGTAAGGAGGTGAATTAGGGAGAGTATTATTATTATCAAAATATAACTGGTTTTTATATTCCTTATTGAATAATGTTTAAAGTGTTTCATTTACATTTTATTTACAAACGCTTTTATAGGATAACAACGGTAAAATAACATTAGGTATAAAAACATATTAGAATACAATAATGTTTTTCATTAATTCATTTTTTTAAATGCAATAAATAATAAGATGAACAAGCGTGAACAAGTACTTTTTTATTATTGAAGATGATTACCTACTTAACTACCTTCAATTTTTTTCTGAACATTAATCGAAATAGTATAAAATAAGTGGCGAAAAGATTAACGGTAGATCATAGAACGGTAGATGTTTAATTTGTTAAAAATAAATATCTAGAATATAAGCATGAAAATCAATATTCACGATTTAATCATGAAATCTATTTTACTATTAATATAGACGTAATGATTTACGTAATGTAAATCAAAATAGTAATTACGCGTTGACATATTTGACAGAAAGTATATATTGACACACAGATCGAAAGTAGATTCTCATCCACACGCGTGTGATATACTTAGTGGTCATAGGAAAAAATGTATCAACTTTTTTCATTTAGTTTAAAACGACAAACAAGTTAATGCGTGATTGTAACCGCATGACATTAATTCCTGTCATTTGAATTTATGAACTACAGATCAGAAACATCATGATACTATTACTCGAGAAGATAAGCCCACTTGACGATCCAATTTCGACCACGTTTGCGCATGACGTCACCCGATGACAACAATCCAGCTCGTGGGCATGGAAAAGCATTACGCTAGATCGGTTTTAATTAATATTTTATGTTTATTTATTATAATATGTTGATATATTATTTTTATAATATTGATATATTAAATTAAATATTTTTCGGCTTGCCTAATCATCTTTAAATGTCCCAAAACGTGTAAAAAAAGTATTATGAGCAGAAAAGAAAATTTCTGTCTATCGGTATTCACCATAACTTTTAAAGGAATTGCGCTATATATAAGTATTATTCCATTAGGGGTCGGATTGGAATATTTTTAAGTAAAATTGGTAAAGGGGAAGGGGGTGAAATGTCGGGGAAAATGGTAAAAAATTGCAATTTTTCTTAAAAAATCGAGTGATATGTCGTTTTATAGGTTTTTGGCTATGGACATTTTGATTTTATAATCCATTTAATATTTTAATAGATAATTAGAAAAAGAGTAAAAAGGGGAGGGGTAAAAATTTAAAATATCGAGTTGTCTTGTACTATTTTAATTTTAAAATTCGTTTAGTGATTTAATAAAAAAATTACAGGTAGGGGTAAAAAGGGTAGGGAGTAAAAATGCTACATAAATATTTGAAAAAAAATTCGAGTTAATTTTATTTTAGAGCTTTTAAAGTATAGACATTTTCATTTTACAATCAATTTAATATTTTTATCAAAATTACGGATGAATGTAAAAAAGGAGTAAAAATTGAAAATGTTTGGATAAACAAGTAATAAATCGTCTTAAAAGTTAAACAGCAACATAAAAATTTTACGCACGTTTACTTCTAAAACAAAACAAACCAAAGAAACAAAATTAAATAATCAGTAATACACGCAAAACCGCTTTGCGCCATATATAGAACTGGCTGTTGCTGAGTCGGGTAGTCTCCCAGTGACGTCAGGCGTGAGAGAGATGGGCTGATCGCATGCGCGTGGGTTTATCTTCTCGAGTAATAGTATCATGAGAAACATGGTTTATTTAACAGAAATAACAAATGATTGGTTATGGAGATAAAACTCGAACACGAAAAATTTCCCGATTTGACACCTATATCTTAAGGGATAATTAGTACAATTGAAAAACAATTGCGTTTGGACATATAAGGCAGATAAAAACCTTCCGAATTCACTGAGTAATGATACCAAATTGGACGTAATTTTTGAATTTAAGGGGAACCCACATACTTCGAGTCCACAAGCAGCCGCAATATCAGATGGTGTTAGCCATACATTAATCACTTGAATATTAAAAGAAAATAAAATGCATCCCTATAAATTGATACCAACTCAGGAGCTCATTCATGGAAGACGTTGGTTGAAAACCATGTCATTGGTATCTTTTTAATTGATTGGATATAATCATTTAACTTGCTCCAAAATAATGTCATCAACTTTGGCAAATTTATATCCTGGTCAAGCAAATCTACAAGTTCCAGCAGGATGGAGCACCACCACATTACCAAAACAATGTCCGTCATCAGTACCTCGACCAAATATTTCCAAATTGGAGGATAGGGAGGTGAGAAACGATAAAATGGCCAGCACGATCACCTGATCTTACTGAATTACTTTTTCTTATGAGGATATGTAAAAAATGTGCTATACAAAACTAAACCACGCGATTTAGCTGATTAGACGAATAACATTTGCGATTATGTCGGTCACGCCTCAGATGTTGATTAACGTTAGAAGACAATTTTATTTCGATTCGGTTGCTGCCAGGACGTTTGACGCATGTATTTTGAACATCTGAGATTGATGTTTTTGTTATTTTTTACATTAAGAGTAAATCGGACCTCTCGCGAAAGCAAAAATGTTTTAATGATTTTCTAATATAACATTGTATTTACATGCATGCCACTGTTAATACTTCGTTCGTTAAATTATGTGTCTTGAGAATATTGAGCTTTAAATTTGTGCAACGATAAGGCAGCACTCTAAAGAGACGTTTAAGAAAAAAAGGTGGGAAATCATCTCATTTACAAACTACTAGATATTTATTAAAACAACAAGTAGCAAATTTTCATAGATTAAATAGAAGGTGAGTTCGATCTACGCACTCTTTTCACTATATTCACTCCTAAAATACCTAAGGCGTTCGGGTACGGAAGGAGTTAAATAAAAGTTCCTCTTTGACGACCGTTCGGAGATCGTGGAGTGGAGTGTGGATCGGGCATGCGCATAAGGTGATTTAAATCGATAATAAGATAATTGTGACTAATTTTTAAGTAAAAATGCTTTTTATTTGATTCCCGTGCATACCATTAATATGGAAGAAACTTTATACGGTTGTTACTGATAAGAACGATTAGGTTTTAAGTATTAGTATGTCACATTGACAACTGACATTGAACTCTGAGAGTAAAAGGAGTAAAACCATATGCGCACTCCGTTTACGCCTACTTACTCCACTCCACTCTGGAGTGCACAGCCCGAACTCACCTACAGAATGGCGCGAAAAAAATTTTTATTGAAATTTCTTTTAAAACTTTTCAAAATAAATACTTTTCGAAAGTTGTCAAAAAATTCAAGGTTTCTCCATCCTAAATTTTGGTATTTCCTGAAAATTTCCCAAAAATCGGACTAAAAATAAATGCTCAAAATGGAATTATACTGTTACGCAGCATCCTGTAGCGTGCTGCGGTCGTCATAAGTAAAGGTACGAGTACATAAAGAAGATAGAATAATCCAGAAATGTCTCGAAATGTCATTCCTTGTCAAAGAAAAGTCCGGAATGTTCGACAAGATTTTAGAAGGTCGAGGCAAGCTATATAAGTCGACGACCTGACGTCAGTGGAAGTTTTATGATAGACGTTACATGTTAATGATATCAGTTGTATCGTTATTGTTAAAGTTAAATTAAGTTATTGAAATAAATTGTGATACCAAAAGCCAGTGTAACAATACATTTTCAAGATGTTTGCTCTTAAGAACGAAACTCTATTAGTAATTACTTTTTTCTACTGTTAATTTTTGCAATAATTTTAAACATTACAAATACGCAGTGTTGACAAATCTATTCCACCAGACCAACTTATTTGAGAACATAAAATAAAAGTATGGTTGGGTATATTATTTTTAAACAATTTTTGCGATATAATGGGACAACATGGAGGTTAAAGAGTGTAGCTACATCAACGTAGGAAAGTATTAACTAAAATTCAAATTTAAATCATGTTATAAAAAACCGGAAGTGCTGTGGCATCCTAAAGTGAGGCTAGGGGCAGTAAATATTCTTTGGGAAAAAGAATACTCTACTCAATTCTTAACTATCTTTATTACCTTTCCAATAATTTTGATACTTAGCCATTTCACCAATATACACATTTTGTTGCACGAAATTCCTAACCGAATACAATTGGGCCTCCCATTCGTAATAAAACCACTCATCGAAAGCCTCAACACTGTCAAAACTCATTCCGTTTTGCCACAAATGACTGCTACACTCCTCGAAGTATGGGGTATATTGTTCGCTAGTTTCTACACTATTTTCGCCCTCAGATTCTAGTAAACAAGTCCGTTTGATGGTATCACACGATTTTTTGGCAATTTTCCACCGGCACCCACTTCATTATATCCACTTCCGTTTCGTTCTCATTTTCTTCGTGCATTTTTAAAGATTTCTTCTTTTTCTTTGCTTTACTTTTCTTTCCCCATAGCGACTCGTCAATGGTTTCTTCGAAATCCTCCGAACATACGGTTCTAAATTCGTTTTCATCAACCATTTCCGATGATTTTTTATTTTTTCTTCCTTTTCTATCTTCTTCTCTATCCGTTTCTTCGTTTTTGACTTTCTTTTTTGCACCGGTTCTCTCATACATTGACATGTATTCAATATCTTCTAATTCGTTTTCTTCTTCAGCAAATCTTTCAACATCTTTGGTATGTTCTTCTAAACCAGGTATTGACACTTTCTTCTTTACACATGCTTCGGATTTATCTTTGTTCAATGATATTTCTTCTGAATCTTCATCTTCTGTGTATTCTTCATCATCGTAATCGTCATCTTCATCTTCGTTTTGTTCAATCGTTACTGGAGTCTTTAGGACCTCCATTAAGGCTTCTCGCCATCTGTTGTTGCTAGATAAGCACTATATTTTTATATCCAAATTGGAATAAATTTTGAACATCATCAATTTCTTCAATGCTTTCTTCGAAATCAACTGCAGCAGTTTCGTCCGAATCGGTAATTTTCGAAGTAGAAGGTTTTGCTTCATCTACAGTAACACTGGTAAGAATGTTTAATAAATCGTCAGTATCTCTCTTGGATAATTCGTTAATTTCGTTTTTATCTCGAGATTTGATGGTCAATAAATGCTTTTCGATGGCAATTTGATCGTCAGCTACATTTGAGCCGCTCAATATTTTAGAAACGTTTAATAGAGCTTTGTTTTTTATCAGCAAATCGTTTTTCATCTGTTCGCGAACGTCAACTTCTGTTACTTTATTCTTAGCGGGTGTTTTTGTTTTGGAAGTGGCGGTATCAGTTAGAGATTTTAATACGGCATTTAAGTCAAATTCTTCGATGTTATTTTCGGTGGTTTCCATTTTAAAATCTTGGTTAAGTAACGAATTTAAAATTGAGTCAGCATCCATATCGGATATTTTTTTTCTAATTTCTTCAGTTTCGTTTTTATCTTGGTTGAGTAACGAATTTAAACTTGAGTCAGCATCCATATTCGATATTTTTTTTAGTAATTTCTTCAGTCTCGTTTAAGATATTTAGAATATCTTCGTTTTTGTTAACTTTGTTTTCTTTCTTCAATATTTCAAAGACTTTATTTCTGGGCGTGTCCGTTTTTTCTGGGTTAACAATACCGTAAACATGATCCTCTTTGGGAACTTCGATTTTCAGCAAATCGGATACAGAACCATTGAACGTTGTCAGCTTGGGTATAGAAAGTGCCGTTCCTCCGATGTTACCTAAAATTTCTTGAAGATGTAAAAGATCGGGGCCTTCGGATGCTAGATTTATGCATACTCCTGAAGATCCATATCGTCCTGCTCTGCCCATACGGTGGAGGTATGTCATGGCGTCCAGAGGGATGTCATAATTGATAACTAGGTCTACATTAGCAGCGTCTATACCTGTAATACGAAAATGTTTGAACTATTAAATACTAAATGATAATTAGCTTTAAATGTAAAATATGATGATTTTAAATTATTGCTACCATTTCTCTTGTTAGTTGTTAGTGTGAATTATAATTACATTAGGGATATCATTAATGTGGATTAAAAATAAAATAGGGCCAATATTATATCCTTGGGGGAGATGAGATATTGCGTTATACTTTTGTTTGAGACTGTACTGTACCCATTAAACAAAATTCTAGCTTACCTCTCGCTGTTAGGTCCGTAGACAACATTATCCTGCATTTAAAGTCTTTCAACTTATTAACGGCCTCCAATCTCTGAGGTTGCGTTTGGGCCGCGGAAATGTACGTCGAAGGCCATCCTTTCTGGTTCAAAATATTACTTAAACTCTCAGCTCGAGTTTGGTAATTCGAGAATACCAGACATTGAGTGAATGATATATTTGTAATAATTTTTACCAACTCTTCGGTTTTCAGTTTCATGAGTTGGACAACTGTTGGGGTGGGTTTTGTGATTACGACGAATTGTTTTAGACCTAGAAAGTAGAAATAACAAATGTATTTTGGAAGCTTCAATAATTGCAAGAGGTTGGTGTTATATTTCGACATAATTTAAATGCGTTACAGCCGGTTGTAAGGAAGTTCATTAGAATTTACGGGTCCGATAAACTTTAACAAATACTCTGATTTTTTAGTAGTTTTGAATGAAATAAAGATGATTGAAAATGGAATTTCTCAAAATTTAATAGATGAAATTTAAAAAGTTAGAGTGGTATTTGAAAAGATCCTACTTTTTAATAATTTGGTATGAAAAAGACAAATTAAACATATTTAGAGTAGGTAATAATCTAAAAGCTTCTGTTTATCAAACAATCTATAAATAGTTGTATTTTCGGGAGTTTGACATTTTGAAATTTTAAAGTTTTTATTGTAAATTTGGTGTCTTAAACTATCAAATAGAATGAGATCTGCCTGATTTAGTTAATTTAGAACTGTTTCGGTATTCAATAATGTTTAATTGTTAAAAGTTGAATGTGAGTGAGGTAGTTTTATGTCTGTTAGAAATATAATTTAAAATAAACAGATTAGTTTATGTTATAAATATTACACAGTAATTTTGAAATTTGGGTATTAACATAGATTTGAGGTACATTTTAGTAATAATACTAATTAATAATACTAATAATTTCAACATGTAAAAATTTATGAAAAAAAAAAAAAAACGATGAATCGCTTTAATCAGTATTAAACTCAATGATTGGTTAGGATCGTGACCTTTTATTATAGTCTGATATAATGTCACATTCCATAGGCGTACTTTGAAAAATAGGTTTCTATAATATAAATAAGGTCACGGCATATAAAATGGTACATACGCACTTCGTAGATTAAATTTTGAATGAAAAGTTATATTGTTTACAAAATATACCTTATGCTTCTGACAAAATTGTTGCACTTTAACATTGAACGAATTAAATTTAACCTGGATTATATGTAGTGATGTAAAATACCGAGATATTTATTTTTGCGGGAAAATTCCTGGGAAAATACCCAAAAATATTTACCCAAAATGGGTAAATTTCAAGATATCTATTAAATTTAAGCAATTGGTATAAAAAAATATTTATTGAAATTAAAACATTATTGCACAATATCTGAAATGTCTGAATCAGACTGGTTGGACATTAGAAATGACTAATTGTAGGCTTAGTAAGTAATTTTGACAACTCTCTTTCTGTAGTCAATCGATTTCTTTTTTTACTATGGATCCAGGTGAAAGTTTTAAAGGATCGTTCAGTAGCAGCAGAAGTTACAGATGCACTAATCCTAATTGCAACGTCTGCTGCTAGTATATTTGTGCCACGGATATCTCTCCACCAAGTAAGAGGATTGATCTCTTCCATTTCTTCCCAGATGAACTTTTTCGACCATAGGCCTTCCTTATCTCTATAATCTGCTAGAAGACCCTTAATTTCGCTGATTTTTAGTCCCAATCTCATTTTTGAAGCTGTGTCAATTATAAATTTCATGGCATCCAGTATTTCTTCTGCAGTCAATTCATGAGCTTGGGAGAACGGATCCAACATGGTTGCAGCTAAATGTATTTTTCATATTGCAAAATATTTTCTTTCGCTCATTTTTTCAGTACCATAGTTACCTCCACTTTTTTTTTTTCAGTGGAGACTGAGGTAGCAACTCAGAACTTTTTATAGATTGTTCAGTTGAGAATGAATGAGATTAACCCGAGGTTTATTGGATTCGAGCTTTGTTATAAGATCAATGATTGGCCTCAAAATATTTATCATTTTGTCAACTTGTACCCAAAATACCTATAGAGTCGTCAATTAATAAAGTTTTTTTGATAGTGTTACAAATACTTCGTCACTTATCGCTACTGTTTATAGAACACTTTTATTTAGGTGAAGGCTCTGTAGGCTGAACAAATGACTTCCCCATCGTGTTTTTACAACCAGTTTCAGTGAAAACATTGATTTTCTTTTCTTTGCTAATGTTGCTAAACAAAGCTTGAAGAAAATGACTTGACAAATAATATCACCTGGTTTGTGCTTTATAACATATTTGTCGCCATGTGTTATAATATAAAACAAACATTAAATTATTTTAGGTTATTTTTTTGGATAGTTAAATATCTCTTGGAAAAATACCGGGTAAATACCCACAATTTATTTACCTACCCACTGGGTATTTACCCAACTCACATCACTAATTATATGTTATTAATGGGATTAAACTTTTTTTTAAGTCTTGTCATTACAAGTATTAGAAATTAAGAATTTAAAAAAACCGACTTCAAAAATGTGCAGATGCCATCACCACATCTTAACCAAATTTATATGGGGCCACCCCTGAGGTATACCCTTACTGACAAAAAAAGGATCATATAAATAGGACAAGATGGTAAAGCATTATCGCTAAACATACATAAACAATGAAGAGTTTGAGGATTTTCTCATGCACCCAATTATTAGATTTTGACCAAATTTATATGGGACCACCCCTGAAGTACCCCCTTTCTAACAAAAAAAGAATCATATAAATCGGACAAGGTGGTAAAGCATTATAGCTAAACATACATAAACAATGAAGAGTTTGAGGATTTTCTCATGGGCCCAAGTATTAGATTTTGACCAAATTTATATGGGACTACCCCTGAAGTACCCCCTTTCTAACAAAAAAAGAATCATATAAATCGGATAAGGTGGTAAAGCATTATCGCTAAACATACATAAAAAATGAAGAGTTTGAGGATTTTCTCATGGACCCAATTAATAGATTTTGACCAAATTTATATGGGACCACCCCTGAAGTACCCTCTTTCTAACAAAAAAAGAATCATATAAATCGGACAAGGTTGTAAAGCATTATCGCTAAACATACATAAAAAAAATATTGCGACGAATTGAGAACCTCCTTTTTTGAAGTCGGTTAAAAAGTAACACTTCAGTACCTTAATTAAAAAGTGTAAAAATTTTGTTTGAACAATGAATTGTTGAAAAAATAAATGTAATTAACTAAATCAATTAATTACAATTTTCTTGAGTGATCTACAATTTTTGTAAATTTAATTTGGCTTCTATCACGCTTCTATATTGTCATTTTACAGTGGACTTTGGTGTTTTACCTCCGTTACACTTGGCAGCAATATTATTTATTTACTGTTGAACACATTTATATGTATCTAAGACATTTGCATCTCATCTCTGAAGTTACAATTAGTAAGCAATTTGAACAAATATGGGTCATTCTCAGTTGAGACGTAAATCGCTTATTGATAAAACGCGGCACGACAAAATTTTTTGAAATTGAAATCAAATTTTACAATGGTTCGATCAAAACAATCATTTCAAACGTGCCTGCAAGACGGTCAGTCAATTTATTGATTTTATCTCGTTTTATAAGATGCCAGGGGAGATACTCATCCAGGGGAGAGACTTAATGAACAGAGTAGAATACTTTGTGATTAGAGAAAGGATTTTATGAAAGAAAACAACATTTTATTGAAGTATTAGCTTTATTCAGTCATTTTATAATTTTATTTATCAATAATTAATTGATAATAATTAGTATTTAAAGTTTTCATATCTCCCCTGGATATCGTGTCTTTCCCCTGGCCCTTACAAGACAGGGGAGATATAAACAGGGGAGATACTTTTTAGTAACAAAAATAGAAATAATGACAAATGTATTTATTGTATGAAATTAACCAAGAAAAGTTAGAATCTATTAACAACGAGAAGTAAATATACGAATGAATTAAATTTTTTAGATGAATATTTTAAAAATAAAACTTACCAGGGGAGAGACTCCGTTCACTCGTTGTCAACTGTATGCACAGAGTGCCAGTAACGAAATAAATGACTAAATGACTGCGCACCTAGTTCGAGTGGCTCTGATTACAAACTATACACTCAACAGCGTTCGCTCAAGGTCTTCAATTCCCGCAAGTCAGTAAACAAATGCCGATTTTACACAAAAATAAGCGTGCCAGGGGACGAGACGCAAAATACGGGGGACAAACGTAAACGTAATTTTTTTTTAAGAAAAAAAAATATCACGCAATTTTACTTGCTTGATTACGATAATTTATTTAAATTATTTTGTTGAAATGTATAATTTAAATAAGTTATTTCATTTTCAAGTACTTAAAATTACAAATAAATAAACAGAATCGGCCCGGGGACAAGCCAGGGGAGAGATGTTTTCCGACTTTGAGGTGAAATTGTGACTAAATTAAATAAAATTAAGAAATGAATTTGAGTGACCAATTATATGAGCACGAGTTTTAAGAGAAAATAATATTCTTTTTAATAAAATTTTTTAAAAAAGGTGATTTTTTGTTATGGACGTCGAATTTACGGCTTAACTGAGAATGACCCGTATATCATTTTTAACAATTTAATTATTTATGCATTTTGAAAGTGAAATAGAAAGATGAATAGGTGTATAAACATTGATACTTCATTTTGTGGCAAACAGACTTAGTCTAATGCCATTCTCTGCCTCACACACAACATTAATACTTACACCTCTTACAATATAAGTGGAAGAGAGTCACCCCCATGTTCACATCCCCTTTAACCTTCATCATACAGTACTAAAAAAATACACAGAATAGGTGCAGAGTATATTTTATTCCAAGTATAAATGAATTTGTTGCCTTCCTAATTTCAGTAAATGTTTATTAAAAAAAAAAACAAAAATATTTAACTTAAAATCTTATGGAATAATGGTTATTTATAATAAAGAAATAAAAAAACAACATAAAAATATGAAAACACATCAAGTATATTCTCTAATAATGTGACATTTTTCACATATAATTTGTTTTTTAGAGTGTAAAACACACATAAAACGTTTGCCCTTACTGCACATTTGAATCGGTCATTTGAGAAACAGCACATGTCAGTTTTAGATCATTTTTCAAAAAATAAGAAAAAGTGAAAATCTCAAAACATGGTTAAAAAATAGTTTTGTACAAATCAGGTGATCACATCACCAATATGTACATGAATTCCTTATGCACAAAATAGGTCTAAAACATATAACTTAAAATAGGGGTACAAACATACCCCAAGCCCGGTTTTATTTTTTATATAAAAATCATAGGATGTATTTCAATAAATCGCTGAAAAATATATTAAAAAGGTGTTAATTGACAATGAATTAAATCAGTAGAAAATTTAAATTTTTTCGAAAATACCCAAAAAAAAAATTGTGATTTATGTAGCAGAGAAGAGAAGGTCTATTAAAGTGTTGTTAAAGTCTATTAAAATGTTACAATTTCTTGAGAACAACTGGATGATTTGGAAATTGTAATATCTTACCCTACACAACTGTTAATTAGTAATTAATAAATAAATCTTAGGCTGCTTATTGAGATTTTATATGCATTTAAAATATGTAAAATTATAATTATATCATCAAAACTTACCTAGAAGCAATGGACTATCAATTTCTGCATTTATATGTGTAGGAGATAACATATATTTAGATAAAAATTCATCTAACTGGTTGGGGTAAGTAGCACTTGTGGTAATAATTTGCTTCTTTGGCGGTAAGCTATTATAAATTTCATTTATGTCATTTCTGAAACTGTTTTCCATGAGTTTATCAGCCTCATCAAGCACAAACAATCTTATCGAATTTGTGTTTAAGGATTTTAGAGAGATAAGCTGCTTTATTCTGCCAGGAGTTCCTACAGCAATATTGCATATTTTGCATTTTTCTTTGTCTTCTGCTAGAGAGAGACCACCTATGAATGATTCTACTTTTAAGTCTGAAAATAAGTTTAAAAAAATCATATATAAATACAAAATACAATGTAATAATAATAATAATAATAATAATAATAATAATAATAACAGACCTTTATTTCAAAAGCAAGTAACACTAACATAAAACAAAATAGGGTCGAAAAAAACTACGAACTACAGTATAGACAATACACATTTTAGAAATTTCAACATAACATGCAAAAAGTATTATCAATGTAAGAATTCCTGTAATGTCTTCTAAATAAATTAAAAATGTAAACAAACTAGTTTTTAGCTCTTTCATTTGGTCTATAACCTTCAAGCACAAAGGGATATTGTTATACATTCTGATGCCCATATAATATGCTCCATTTTAAGTAATTGTTAATCGATGATATGGATATAAATAATGTATAATTATTTATTGACACTGTTAGGATATGTACATTCTGGCTGTTTATATTAAACCAAGCCTTATTTTTATTAAAAAATAAAATTGTTTCTTGTATATATATATTGCCTTCTTCAAAATTTTGTTTTTTTTTTTTTTTAATTTTACCCTATAAGAAGCCCTGAATCCAATGCCTAGTATTATCTTAAGTGCTTTTTTGATAGACAAATAATTTTTCTATAAAACTACAGTTTCCAAATAATACAATTCCATATTTAATGCAGCTTTCGATGATGGATTGAAAAACCTTTTTAGTATTGGGAAATTAACACTTTCTTAACAGCTTTTAACGTACCTACTTATGTTAATAATACAAATAATTATATACTTACAACTGATATTTTTCTTATTCAAAATAGAATTTAATAAACTATAAAATAAACAAATCAATGACATATTCACACACTTACAGTCTGTCTCACACTGCGTTTTCCTACCTTCAAAATAGCATCCAATTAGTTTAAACACTTCTTGAGACTGAACAGCGATTTCTCTGGTAGGGGATACAATAAGAACTTCTAATAATTTATCTTTCTTTAATTTGAGAGATTCTAAAGCAATTATAGAGAAAACCAATGTTTTGCCTGTGCCAGATTTAGACTTAACTATTAAATCTAAAACATACAAAATTATTGTATTAAAGAGAAAAGAAAATAAATAGTTTAATTATTACCAAATCCACATCTTCCAACAGGAATAGCTTTTAATTGAACGGGTGATGGTTTTTTGAATCCGGATTTTTTCAAGCCTTTTAGAACATTTTCTGATAATAGTAATGATTCAAATGTTACATTTTCTACTACAGTAACATCTTTAGTCCTCGAATTATCATCAATTCGATGAGCCAACATCTTATGACAAGTAGAAACTAAAGCTAAAATAGATGCATAAACAAAAACATTCAAAACAATTTTTGTAGGTTAATTTTAATAGTTTGACGTTTGACAGTAATGACATCACCTAAGATCTTCTACAGCTAGATGAGTAAGTAAACAAAGGTGAATAATATAAAAAATGTATATAAGGCGAGAACAAAAATACGCGTGTTTAGTGAAAACGTCACAGGTTGAGGAAGGTCATAGCACTGGATGGATGCCATTGTCTTCGATTTGAAGAATTTTAACCCAGTCTACTCAAACTCTGGTTTTTGAAGTGGATATAATTTAATTAATTGACACATTCAAAGCATATAAATGGTAAGTTGATGAAATTTACATGTAATTCCATCGATTTAATAATCTTTTTTACTGGAAAAGAATTACTTTTCCGTGATTTGAAAAATATTAACCCAACTTATTTGAAAGGTAACTTTTGAAATGGATTTTAAAGCAGTAGCACATGTCCCAGAGGTCAAGTGATTTTCCATAACATGGCTACCTTATTGTATTATGCCCATTATAATATTTACGAAACTGAGAAGGCCCTGAAGAAGCTAAAATTGCTTCTAATCCAAGGGTTGCTATCTATATTGTTTTTTGTTAGGCTATAATCCATAGAAGCTGAATGGGATCCTAATTTAAAAATTTTACATACGTTTTATATTGACAAATTCATATCAGTTGATGACCTTTACATGTAATTCTATCGATTTCATAATCCTTTTTACAGGTAAAATTCTATTTCAGCGATTTGAGAAACTTAATAACCTTATTCCTGATTTTGAGAGTGAAACTAATTTAATATTTACAAGATGAATCAATGCCTGGGTCCGTCCAGAAAAGAAGCAGGTGATCATAATATATCGAATCGAGGGCCACAAGGCAGGACCTCCTAAACCGCAAAATTGACATTTTACAGATGAAAAAAAAGTTTTACGTATAGAACAATCCATTTTACTCTATAATAGGACTAATATTTACCAATGTCTTGTTTAAAAATTGTAATACTTCCCCTATACAGTAGATGTAGCGAATGTTTTAAACGAAATTATCATAAAATATAATTTTCCTGGAAATGTTAGCTAAGAGGTACTGCATTGTGGTCCTCGATATAAGTTCTCAGAGTTATTATATGTTACCAGAAAGTAGAATGTGGACTTTATTGTTGTGCCTCTGTAATCAATAGCATATTTTGATCTTCTTGAAGAAAAATATTTTTTAATTTTGATTCTGTTATAATCAAAGCTGAAAACTGTATTAAAAATGAAAGTGGAGAGGTCAGAAGAAATGATAAGAACTGTGCCTCTACATTTTTTTTTATACACATATTTGTGAACATTATATATTAAATATTCGAAAGTTTACTCTGTTCTGCAAGATAAATAAATAAATAAATAAATAAATTAAAAAAATGAAGGTAGTTTTATTATATAATAATATAAATTATCAAATATATGTGTAGTAATAAATAATAATTTAGTATCTATTAAATTTTAACTATTTGAGAGTGCTTTTTTAGTAATAAAAAAATTATCAAAAACAGCTGATATGAATTTGTCAATATAAAACATATCGACGGCTAAAGTGCAGTACCTCGTATATGGCATTTTTCCCATTTTAAGTTTGTTACACGAATGTTTTTGGTTCTGACCGCGCCATCTACTGACAACGTTTAAAAAATTTACGAGAGCCGCGTAACAAGTCTCTACAGGAACATTCATTACCTCGTAAAATTTATTTTATGTTTTGTAATGCAGTACCTCGTAAAAGATAGTCGCCATTGATTTCTGCTGTAAGAATATCGTGTTGAGCTTTGTTTTTACATTTTTGACGTTACTCAGGTAAGTAAATGTTTGTTTATTACAATTATTGCCATAAACATATCCTTACATTGCGTTTCATCCAAAAAATACTTTGATTTATTTTAATATCGTTGCGATTTAAATTAAAGACAAGAAAATACTGTGCTAAGCAGAATGAAAAGAAAAAATATTCATGATGAATCTCCAGAATATCTTAGAGAATTTATGCGATCACTTAATAAGTTACCTGCTCACTACTGTCGCAAGGAAACTTTGAAAGAATATCTAGAACAATTTCAGTCCATGGCTCAATTACACCAAGAGTACGAGAAACAGTACAATATCAAAAGAAAAAAGTGTTTGTCTATAACCAAACTAACGGAAATTGTAAACGAGCTCAAAATTGGAATATTTACACCTCGAAAGAATAGATGCGATGAGTGTTATAAATTTGAAAACGAAAACTTAGAGGAAGGTCCATTTTTGAAACAATGTGAAGAAAAAGACAGGGCTAGAAACGAAAAAGAATTTGACAAAAATAGAGCCATTTTTGGGGATCTTCAAGCGGTCAAGATTTGTCCTCAGCTAAAAGCTAGCTCACTGTATTACAAAGTAAAGCTTTGTTGCCACAATTTTTCCATCTACGACTTGGCAACAAATTTGGGACCTTGCTATTGGTTTGACGAAACCAAAACATATCTGCAAGCCTCAGCATATGCCTCGTGTGTTGTCGATTATCTCAAAGATAACTTTTTGGACAACGGTGACAAAAGAGAAATTATTATATTTTCAGATGGTTGCATGGCACAAAATCGCAATTCCATAATGTCAAACGCGCTACTTCATTTGGCTGAAACTTATGGTGTAAAAATAACACAAAAATATCTGGCCAAAGGCCCTACCCAAATGGATTGCGATAGCGTACATGCTTGTATTGAAACTTCATTGAAAAATAAGGACATTTATCTTCCAAGCGATTATGCTCGAATAAGAAAAGAAGCTAAGAAGAAAACCCCCTATGTAGTTAAAACACCAGACTGATTTTTTTACCAATTTTAATCACAAGCCATTACTGAAGTATGATTCCATAAGGCCTGGAAAAGTAACATCAGACCCAGTCGTCACAAATCTAAGAGTACTAGAGTACTTGCCAAAGGGAGAAATTCATTTCAAAATAAATTTCATCGATGAGTTTCAAGCGCTTCCTCGACGACCAAAAGCTATAAGTCTGGCTGGAGTTGTGTTTCCGCGGTTATAAAATAGACTGCAAACAATTTAACAAAAAAGTTTGATCACCTTAACGAGATGAAGCAGGTTATTCCCAAAGACTGTTGGCCATATTATGAAAGCTTGCAATATGAATAGGAAAATGTTTCCAGATAGTTTGTTGTTTTTAGTATAAGATTAGTTTTTTTTTGCTTTCTTGTAAGAGTTACCGTATGAAATGGGATTTTATTTAGTTTTAGTTTAGTTTTTTTTGTTTTCTTACAAGCGTTACCATTTTTTGATAATAAACATTTCTAATAAAAATTTATATTTTTACGTTTTTTAGCTTCTATCGCCCCATTTTATCTGTACAGTACCTCGTATAATTTTTCATTTCTAATGCAATACCTCGTATGAAGCATACTAGGCTTAACAAAAATAAAAAATAGTAAATTTATATTAAAAACAGTTAAGAAATCCACCTTTACACATCCCGGTTGCAAAATAAATACAAAACGTTAAAAAATGTAGTTTTTCTCGTTTCCTGTAAAATTTATCAAAAAAATGATACGAGGTACTGCACTTTGGCCGTCGATATGTAAAATGTTTAAATTAGGTTTCCATTTAGCCAAACAAAAAACAATATAAATCGCAACCCATGATCCAAAAGCAAAAGCATTTTGAGCTTCTTCAGGGCCTTCTCAGTTGTGTAAATATTGTAATGGGCATAATACAATAAGGTAGCCATATTATAGAAAATCACTTGGCATCTGGGACATGTGCTTTAAAATTTATTTCAAAAGTTACCCTTTAAATAAGTAGGGTTATTATTTATCAAATCACGGAAAAATAATTCTTTTCCTGTAAAAAAGATGATGAAATCGATAGAATTACATGTAAAGGTCATCAACTTACTGTTTATATGCTTTGAATGTGTCAATTAATTAAATTATATCCACTTCAAAAAGCAGGGTTTGAGTGGGCTGGGTTAAAATTCTTCAAATCAAAGACAAATAAATAATAATAATAATAATAATAATAATAATAATAATAATAATAATAATAATAATAATAATAATAATAATAATAATAATAATAATAATAATAATAATAATAATAATAATAATAATAATAATAATAATAATAATAATAATAATAATAATAATAATAATAATAATAATAATAATAATAATAATAATAATAATAATAATAATAATAATAATAATAATAATAATAATAATAATAATAATAATAATAATAATAGTAGTAGTAGTATCTTTATTGACCAGTTACATACAGCATATACATTTATGGTCACTTAAACTAGTGTCTTTAAATACATGTACAAAATTTATAAAAACAAACAAAGTAATAAAACAGTAATAAAAAGTCATAAAAAAGTCATAAAAAGTCAAATTTCATAAAAAGATCATAAAAACAATTACAAAAAGTAAATACAACAGTAACATATGAATTAAACAAACAAATAAAACATTGATGAACAGAGAGAAATGAAAACAAATTGTGTTAAAATAGATTATTGGCTTAAGAAGTTTATAAAATCACCTATTGAGTAGAAACAATGTTTCATCAAAAATGACTTTACAAATTTATTAAAAGAATACAAATTCATATTTTCTATATTTTTATTTTTAAAAAAATTGATGAATTTATTGTACAATCCGACATCCAATTTGTTATTTTCGGAAAGAGTTATTCTTGAAAAACTTTGCATCAAGTTTCCTGCATATCTGGTGTTGTGATGGTGAATGTCGGAGTGAACCGTAAACTTATCGCGGTCATTGTGTATTGTTTTTAATGTTTCCATTATGTAGAGGCAAGGTACTGGTAAGATGTTATGTTTTTTAAAAAGCATTTGGCAAGAAGTTCCGTACTTGGCACCTTCCAAAATTCTGATCGCTGATTTTTGCATTTTAAACACATCTAAAGCTCCCACCGAATTTCCCCATAAAACAATGCCGTAAGTTATGTGGCTGTGGACAAGTGAAAAGTATACTGTCCGTAAAGTTTCGTGGTCTAAAAGGTCGCGTAAGTAGCGTAACACAAATATCTGTGATGAGAGCTTGGAACAAATGTATTCTGTATGAGAGGACCAAGTCAACCTACAGTCCAATTTAACACCTAAAAGTTTGACCGAGTCAGATTTTGGAACCAATTTATTTGATGTTAGTAATATATTCTTGGTTTTTGTAACATTGAGTTTCAAGCAATTCGCAGAAAACCATTCGTTGGCTTGATGTAAGGTATTATCGTTTACATTTGAACCACTGCGTAAGAAAGTAGTATCATCAGCGAATAGTATGCAGTCGGTTTTAATAGACATTGGCAAATCATTAATATAAATCAGAAAGAATAAAGGTCCAAGCACGGAACCCTGAGGTACGCCATTTTTTATGGGTAACTGACCTGACTCAACTCCGTTTACGTTAACAAATTGCATTCTATTAGATAAATAGGATATACATAATCTAAGTATGTTTTCCCTTAATCCGTAATACTCCAATTTCTGTGCAAGAATATTAATTTTAACGCAATCGAAAGCCTTGGTGAGGTCGCACATTGTTGCTAATGTTTCCGCCTCCCCATCAAGACCCTCAACCACGTAATAATAATAATAATAATAATAATAATAATAATAATAATAATAATAATAATAATAATAATAATAATAATAATAATAATAATAATAATAATAATAATAATAATAATAATAATAATAATAATAATAATAATAATAATAATAATAATAATAATAATAATAATAATAATAATAATAATAATATAAGCGTTTATTGACCACATTTATATACAAAAGTACATTTGAAGTCATCAGAACAGAAAATAGAGTAAATAACTATCATGGTACAGTCTAAATACAATAAAATAATGTAAAAACATATTGAACAATAATATAAAATAATAATGTAAAAATGGTATGCACAGTAATATAAAATGATGTAAAAACAAATGTGAAAATGATGTAAAAAATATATATGTATATAACTAAACGATAATGTAAAAAATCAATGATGTAAAAATGAGAATGACAGATTAGATTTACAGTTTTTATAAACAGTACCAAAAACTCGCTACAAATTAAAATAATCAGTCACTGAATAAAAACAGTGTTTTAGTAGATATGTCTTAGCTAATTTCTTAAACGTATCAAAACTTAGATCATAAACATTGCAGTTGTTTATTTCATTAACAAATTTATTATACAGATTCAAATCCAACTTATTATCTTTAGTTACTTTTAGTCTTGAATACAGTGGTACAAAATTTTGTGCATTTCTCGTAACATAGTTATGTGTATCTTGGTGCTTATTAAACAAATGTTTGTTTTTATGGATTTCCAACAGAGATTCGTATATATATATATTGTAGGTAGAGGCATGATTTTATATTGTATAAACAAAGATTGACAGTGAGTGCCAAAAGGCACTCCTGCTAATATACGTAGAGCTTGTTTTTGTAGTATAAAAGCTTTATTTGAAAATGTGGAATTACCCCAGAGCAATACAGCATAACAGAGATGACTATGAACAAGCGAGAAATACACAGTTTTAAGTACATTAGTACTCAGACATTTCCGTAACTGGCGTAATATAAATATTTGTGATGACATATTCTTACAAACTTGATCGACGAATAATAATAATAATAATAATAATAATAATAATAATAATAATTAATAATAATAATAATAATAATAATAATAATAATAATAATAATAATAATAATAATAATAATAATAATAATAATAATAATAATAATAATAATAATAATAATAATAATAATAATAATAATAATAATAATAATAATAATAATAATAATAATAATAATAATAATAATAATAATAATAATAATTAATAATAATAATAATAATAATAATAATAATAATAATAATAATAATATTAAAATAGTCATCGTGACGGCTATTCACATCTATAATCCGCTGAATCAAAAAAGTTTACAACATTAAATATAAAATCGAAATACATACATATAAATTAGAACAATAGTAAAATAAAAATTTCGCAGGAGAATAAAAAGACGAACAGAATAAAATAGAACAATTAAAATTATATAAAAATAGCACATAAAAATAACATAACTACACAATTAAAAGAATAAATCATTGTATCGTTAAAAGTTAAAATAGTTTATAGAATATATAAAAATCTATAAAAATGAATTTACATTAACTATTTGGTCGAGTACATAAAATTCAAATCAAATATAAAACATATACATTATTTTAGTTCGTGAAGGAACTCATCAGTACTGTAAAAGCAATAGTTTAGCAAAAACTCTTTGGTAAATGTTTTAAACCGAGTTTTTGACATACTTTCAATATTAATGTCGCAGAAGTAGTTGCGGAAAGAGTTAAAAAGGGAAACGTCTAAAGTATTGCTTTTAGTACATTTTAATCTAGAATCATTAATGATTATATTTTGACAATAACGGGTATTGTAGTTATGCACATCCACATGCCTAGTTAAATTGTGTCGATTATCATGTGTTTCTAATAATGTTTCAAATATGTACATTGAAGGAAGAGGCAATATTCCTAATTTCTTAAATATTGGTTGACACGGTGTATTAAAAGGAGCGTTATCGACTAGTCGTACTGCAGCCTTCTGTAGTATGAAAACTTTATACGCATTAGTCGAGTTACCCCATAGTCTAACTCCATAGGTTATAAGACTATGAACTAAAGAAAAATAAATTGTTCTTAGTAAATATGATGGTAAACAGGACTTTAATTGTCGAATAACAAATATTTGCGATGATACTTTAGAGCAAAGGTAATCAATGTGCGATGCCCAATTCAAGTAAGTGTCCAAATATAACCCTAATAATTTTACGGGTTGTGATTTTGTGGCCCATTTATCTGAACTTATTAATAAATTATTTGTTTTATTTTCATTTAGTTTTAATTTGTTAGCAGAAAACCATTCATTTTCATTTTCATTTTCAATTGCTCTAGAAGCATTTTGAGCAGTGATTAGAGATGTCTGATTAGGTGTATTGATTGGAGAAAATACCTTGTTTACCTCATGAGATGACAACGAATTATCATCCTCTCTGGCATCAGATGCTGTTGAGATTTTCTTAGGATACTGTATTGAAACAGAACAGAGGCTTTTTTGAAGTAAGCCTACTTGGTCCTGCAAAGATTTTATAGCGATCTCTTGATATTGAATAGTTTGATTTTTACTAATTACTAACTCTTCAAAATGTTTTAATTTTTCTAAAAGATTATCAGTAGAAATATCGGCAATGGCACAAGCAGATTCGTTAATTTCACCACAACAATTACAGGAGCTTTCATCGATTTTTTTCGCATTTTTAATACTATTCAAACAACTTGGATGAGATACAATACCACAGACAATACACTTTAAGCCAGATGTGGTTACTTTCTTACATCTTTTGCACCCACTCACTGATTTTGTATCAGGCATGATGTAGAAAGTCAATCTTAAACTAAATTAAAAATCTAATGTAAATTTCTTGAACAAATTTTTAACCGTAGTGGAATGAACTAAAGCATTAGCCCAATAACAGAATGTTTACAATGTTTTTGTACTCACATTCCCAGTTTCAAAATCCGTTTCTTACGTTATTTTAAGACAAATACTGCTGCAAACACTTGTACCGATGCACTTAACACTTATATTAACTATGCACTGCACAAAATATTTGATTTACCTTTAAAACCACGAATTTTATAACAAAATTTAAGAGCTATCACAAACAGGTGTATACTATGACCACTTTTCAACCAATAATAATAATAATAATAATAATAATAATAATAATAATAATAATAATAATAATAATAATAATAATAATAATAATAATAATAATAATAATAATAATAATAATAATAATAATAATAATAATAATAATAATAATAATAATAATAATAATAATAATAATAATAATAATAATAATAATAATAATAATAATAATAATAATAATAATAATAATAATAATAATAATAATAATAATAATAATAATAATAATAATAATAATAATAATAATAATAATAATAATAATAATAATAATAATAATAATAATAATAATAATAATAATAATAATAATAATAATAATAATAATAATAATAATAATAATAATAATAATAATAATAATAATAATAATAATAATAATAATAATAATAATAATAATAATAATAATAATAATAATAATAATAATAATAATAATAATAATAATAATAATAATAATAATAATAATAATAATAATAATAATAATAATAATAATAATAATAATAATAATAATAATAATAATAATAATAATAATAATAATAATAATAATAATAATAATAATAATAATAATAATAATAATAATAATAATAATAATAATAATAATAATAATAATAATAATAATAATAATAATAATAATAATAATAATAATAATAATAATAATAATAATAATAATAATAATAATAATAATAATAATAATAATAATAATAATAATAATAATAATAATAATAATAATAATAATAATAATAATAATAATAATAATAATAATAATAATAATAATAATAATAATAATAATAATAATAATAATAATAATAATAATAATAATAATAATAATAATAATAATAATAATAATAATAATAATAATAATAATAATAATAATAATAATAATAATAATAATAATAATAATAATAATAATAATAATAATAATAATAATAATAATAATAATAATAATAATAATAATAATAATAATAATAATAATAATAATAATAATAATAATAATAATAATAATAATAATAATAATAATAATAATAATAATAATAATAATAATAATAATAATAATAATAATAATAATAATAATAATAATAATAATAATAATAATAATAATAATAATAATAATAATAATAATAATAATAATAATAATAATAATAATAATAATAATAATAATAATAATAATAATAATAATAATAATAATAATAATAATAATAATAATAATAATAATAATAATAATAATAATAATAATAATAATAATAATAATAATAATAATAATAATAATAATAATAATAATAATAATAATAATAATAATAATAATAATAATAATAATAATAATAATAATAATAATAATAATAATAATAATAATAATAATAATAATAATAATAATAATAATAATAATAATAATAATAATAATAATAATAATAATAATAATAATAATAATAATAATAATAATAATAATAATAATAATAATAATAATAATAATAATAATAATAATAATAATAATAATAATAATAATAATAATAATAATAATAATAATAATAATAATAATAATAATAATAATAATAATAATAATAATAATAATAATAATAATAATAATAATAATAATAATAATAATAATAATAATAATAATAATAATAATAATAATAATAATAATAATAATAATAATAATAATAATAATAATAATAATAATAATAATAATAATAATAATAATAATAATAATAATAATAATAATAATAATAATAATAATAATAATAATAATAATAATAATAATAATAATAATAATAATAATAATAATAATAATAATAATAATAATAATAATAATAATAATAATAATAATAATAATAATAATAATAATAATAATAATAATAATAATAATAATAATAATAATAATAATAATAATAATAATAATAATAATAATAATAATAATAATAATAATAATAATAATAATAATAATAATAATAATAATAATAATAATAATAATAATAATAATAATAATAATAATAATAATAATAATAATAATAATAATAATAATAATAATAATAATAATAATAATAATAATAATAATAATAATAATAATAATAATAATAATAATAATAATAATAATAATAATAATAATAATAATAATAATAATAATAATAATAATAATAATAATAATAATAATAATAATAATAATAATAATAATAATAATAATAATAATAATAATAATAATAATAATAATAATAATAATAATAATAATAATAATAATAATAATAATAATAATAATAATAATAATAATAATAATAATAATAATAATAATAATAATAATAATAATAATAATAATAATAATAATAATAATAATAATAATACTCTTCCTAATTCACCCCCTTACGAATGACGTTCAACCCCCTGAAGCCGACTGAGCGACTTGTTTAGGGGAAAGGACGGCTATTAATATTTGCCGTGGCACTCCGGGGTGACAATAATAATAATAATAATAATGTTTATTCAATAATATAAATATAAAAATGTACATTATAATTTTTAAAAAAGTAAAAGAAACATAACATAATGAATAAACATAAATCCACTGAATAAGTATATATATTAAGGTTACAAGCCACATACCAAATGAATATTCTGCAACAAAGCCATCATTAGTAGAAAAAGAAAGTTAATGCATTTTAACAAAGTTGTAGTAGTTTTAGAAATATATTTGAACCTCTGGACCGTGCTATCTCACTATATTAATTTTAAGTCCTTACTTCCTTAATATTCTTTAAAAATTTGGTTAAAATTAACCCCGGGGTATAAAAATAACCAGACGTAATTTTTAATTTTGTATTCTGTATTATTTGGTCAAAATTATAACTTATGTCAGTAATAAATCTAGTAATGAATACATGTCAAATCTATTATTTTTCCTACTTTTAATGCTGCGTTGGGCTTAATTTCAATTCACTTTTAGGTCAAGTCTATTTTAACTGGGACTGGTTATAAAATGGCTAATAACACAAAAATAAACTGATGGATTATCGAATAGAGATTTGGGTTAAAATATAGACGTCATATTTATAAATAACCTTTTAACCTGGAGGTTGAAATTAACTAAAACGTTACAGACAATGGAGTCAATTCTGAATTATAATCATAAACAATTATTGTTACAAGACTTTTCTATAATTTGGCAAATACGTGGATAACACAGTAAATGCTTGCAATTTGGTGTTTGTGAGCAAAATTAGCCTAGTTGTTGTTCGTCATTGGTTCGAATTTTCAACAAAATAGCAAGCATATGTTACCTCTTATTAAACCCCCACAATCCCGCCACTGCCTGTATGTTACCCAGGAAACAAAAAATAAACACTTAAATATCAAAATTCTAATGTCAGTAGTTTTAAAATCCACTCTCTAAATTTCAAATGAAGATTTTCTAAAAATTAAAAAAATTCAAAGTGCTTACCTCATTCAAAATTACAGTGTTTTTATTCCAAAATGGCGGCGGGATCTCTTATGGACTCTCTTAAGAGTTTACTATGCCAAATTGATGGAACATGTTGCCCATCATCATGCTGCGGCCCATCATATTGTGGACCCATGGTGTCTGGAGTAGGCCCTGTGATTGAAATCTACGATCCTTTACCAAAACCAATGTTACCCATATGCACACCTTATATATCGCCTTGTGGTGCTGTGTCACCTTGTTGTGGCGGTCCATGTCCCCCATGCTGCCCTCAACCTTGCTGCCCTGGAATGGTACCATCGCCAGTTACTCCGCCTCCATGTGTGCCATTAATCGCCAAGCCCCCTTGTCCACCGGCTATAATACCAATGCCTCCTACGATTGTTCCTGTAGGTCAAATTGTACCTATTGTTCCACAACGACCGATGCCGGTGCCCAGTCCACCACCTATACCATGTGTTAGACCAAATCCCCCGCCATGTTGTCCTATGCCGTGCCCACCACCTTGTGCGCCTTGTTGTGGCCCTCCTTGTGGGCCTGTAACAGCTCCTTTGCCTGTCTGTCCACCTCCTGTTTGTCCACCTGCCTGTTGTCCACCGTTTTGTTCTCCTTGTGGCCCGTGTGGTCCTTGTGGTCCTTGTGGCCCATGTGGTCCGTGTTAATTTGACAAACTTCATATTATGAGTGTATCTCTATCAATGAATGGTCCTTAAATTACCCATTTTAGTAAATTAGTAGTTATCAAATAGGTAGATACATACATTATTCTTTGTCATTTTGTAGAATATGGAAAACACAAGAAGAAATATTGAAAAGTCCTAAATAATGATAACGGCTAATTTAAATTAAATTAGGGACCAGTCTTTGAGCTTTCAAAAAGGAATACAGAGGCAGTAGGTGTTTCAAAAAAAGAGAAAGATCTACTCTAAAATTTTATATAACCATTTTTCAATCTATTTTTTGAGGATTTTGTATCAATTGTAACTTGTAACGTAACAGATTTATATTGTAAACAGTCTTAACAATAAAAGCTTTAAATTTTCTTAAAAACATCTTTTATTCATTTCATGCGATGATTTATTTAAAATAAATTCAAAATACATATAAATTTGTGAACTAGAATTAGGCATTCCAAACAAAATGGCTGCCCGTTTGAAATGACAGGCCACTAACAGGTCGTAACATGGCAACACTGTGGGCCTATTCTCCAGATGAGAGAATGATTATTTCATGCGAACTGGACAGCCGTTCTCCTAAAAAATTTTTGAGTGGTATTCTTGAATTGAATTGAATGATCACTTCGCATGAAAATCGAGAGAACATACTTCTCTTAGTCAAAACCAGTAGAAGAGCATCATTTCGGGAGAACTGGGAGAACAACTGTCATTGTCGTGCGCTATCAAAACGTCACTTTTTTTAATTAAAATGGATTTGGACCAAAATTTGGACGAAGCTCTTATTTATATTCATATTTTGAATGATCTAGCTGAAGCGGAAGGAGATGCCAATCGACCAAATATAATTTTTTTAGGAAAAGAGGATCTTTTTGACTTTAGTTACCGAATATTCACAAAAAATGTTCATCTAACTAAACCTTTGGCACGGGATTTAATAGAAAATAATGTAAAATATAATCTGTTATTACAATTGTCAAAAAATATTAAAAAAATGAAGTAAAGTGCCTTCTAAAATAGTTCTAACGCACAACTTAAATTTGGCAGCGGTGCTCCGTGAACCTGTGAGATGTGAATGATTCAAGAATACCGGATACGATGACCGAGAGAACAAATTGGTGATAGGACACTTCACATCCCACAGTGGAATGTTCACATCGTTCAACTTGGAGAATAGGGACCAGGGGCTGGTAACTCAAATGGAAAACCATGAGGCTAATAATTTAGTACCACTCCAATTAACGGGATGGCGCTCGTATCGAATTGTCATGTCAGTTGTCAGCTCGTCAAAACTTCAAAATATTGCTGCGTTTGAGAATCCACATCGGATGCATCTGAGATGTAAAAAATCTTTGATCACGTGATGCAGTATACGTAAATGTAATGGGACAGATGTGTCCGATGTGGATAAAAAAACGCTCGAGATGTAAAAAATGCATCCGATGTGGATTCTCAAACGCAGCTTCAAACTATTGTATTTGAAGAACGAATGTGTATTAAAATTTGGTTCATCTAGAATCTAGATTTATTTTTCAACACCTTCCAATTTTAAGCATGTTTTCAAAAGATGGGAAGATGGATTTCAGCAACAAACAATAAAGCACTCCCAGATATTGGTAGTAATGCAATTTATACCACATTAAATATGCAGTCGTCCCCCAAATTGTAATAAGTGTCTTAAGAAAAATGCACCATCACTGTACCAACGGTAAGTAATATTTACAAACTTGTATTTGATTCAGTGTTAAAATAATTGGTTTCTTATTTAAATTTCTTTTTGTTTTCAGTTTTTAAAAGATCATTTTTGTAAAGAATGTTGGCCCTCCAAAATACCCTGTCGATCGATGAAATATTTGAGCCTCAGCCATCAATATCAAAAGTTGATTCAATGCCATTGACATCAACAAGAAAACACCCTAAAATCTTCAAGGTTCCAAACGTGTGTAAGTTTAATTTATTCTCAAAAGTTAAATTTATTTATCATGGTGCCCACATGATGAATAAAAATTTGATAACTACAAGTGCTGTATAAATGAATCAAGAAAACAATTATCGGATGAAGAAATGCTCCTCAACCTAACTAGTCAACTCAATAACCGTATGGCAAATTTTATCCACACTCAAATTTGCTTCGATAGTAAAAAAGGATGATGGATGCTTCAACCTCAATTTTTTCAAACTTATTTGCCACTCCAAGTCACAAAACTTTTATAAAGGTCTTGAGCACTTATATATGCTGATTTTGTTACAGAAAACATTTTTGATAGGTTTGTTTTATAAATATTTCATTATTTAAATGGTGTAAATGCATATTTGTTTGAGTATTTCCATGTTTAAATAGACAAATTATATGATGATAATGATGATAATTTACTGTAATAAAAAAAAATTAAATAAATTGCATTTTATTTCAAGTTTGAAATTAATGCAAAAATATAATGAAGTAAAATCAAATAAAGATAAAAATTGGCAAAATATTTGACTAGTTTCAAATCACAAAACAGTCAATATGGTTGTTTTATGATTTAAAACTAGTCAAATATTTTTCCAATTTTTTTGCTTTTATTTGATTTTCTTTATTACATTTTTGCGCTACTACAAAGTTAAATTTCAAAAAGCCCGCTCGTGGCGGCCATATTGAATTTTAGTACCACTCCAATTTGATAGATGGCAGCACATCGACTCAGAATTTTACCATTGAGTTTCCCATCTATTCATGTAATCTATGATAGGGACCCTGGTAGTTTGATAGGGTCAATGATATAGATAGTTATATAGATTGATCATCCATGTTTTTAACAATAAACATAAGCTTAAGCGCCTTGATGTAAAAATGTAGGCAATTATTTTATTATTGGTTTCAGTGGCCTGGTGACGTCACCGATGCCTATTACGTCACATTTTACCACTAGTAGAGAAGCTTACAATAGTTCATTTTTACCTTCCAAATTTCATCAGTCTAAGTATCACCGTTCAAAAGAAAATAGGGGGGAGGGGACTTTTGAGAAGCACTGTATAAAACTATATAAAGATATAGAAGAAGAACGAAAATAATTTTTGTACAGTGTAAGTGCCTGTGTAAATTTAAAAGATAAGGAGTTACGAGTACCTATACGTATTTTTAGTTTCTTTTTTATTGGAGGTCCCTAGATGATGCCATTTATTTAATTTATTTAGATCAATTCAGAATGGAGATGTACTTTTAATTTCTTTTTAGACTGGAGATGATTTAATACAGGCCAGAGGCTAGAGGCTTGCAAGGAATTGTGGAGTTTGAAAACACAGTAACTATCTACGTAAAACTCCTCTCAAACCTAGCTCTTTTATGTAGAGGTGAGATCATCTCACTCTATGTACCTTAAATTTCGGCATGATCGGCTCAATAAAAGTTTTCGTTTAGATTTTATCGTGTTGTCATGGTTTTTACTGTAATAAACCTTTTCTTTTGAGAGATAAGTCAGATTTTATTTATTCATAGCCGTATTTTAATTGATTTATAATTTTGTATTAGTATATATTATTATTTTACAGTTATATAAAAATTTCGAGTGAATTAGAAAATATTGCAAGCACAAGTACGCGTAAACCACTTAGTGGACATAAAGCAATATCTTTAGAAGAAAAAAATATCGTACTATGTATTTAATAATCTTCGAAAAGACTTTGTTTCACTTTCTGTGGATAAACTAGTCACTAAATGTGAGACCTATACTGGAGTATCAAAGTGGACAGTGTATAACATTATTAAAGAAGATACAATTATTGGAGAAGTCTCACATCCGAAAAAGCCCCGAGGAAGAAACAAGACCTATATCGAAACTTGGGTAAAGAATGTAATAAGGCAAATGGGACATTCTTTTTTCTTTCAAAATGAAATTCCTACAACAAAAAAATTACACTCAGAAATAGAAAATAGCCCCACTCTTTTAAATATATCATATTTTTATATCCAAACAATATTACATGAATTAAATTCGAAACTTAAAACAAGCCTTTATGGAAGGGGTCTCTTGTGGATTAAAAAATGCAACAGGAAACGGAAATCGTTTAATAATAACCCATATTGGAAGCACTGACGGATTTTTGACAGATGGTTTATTAATGTTCGAGTCAAAGAAAACAAAAGACTACTATGAAGAAATGGCCCCATGTTTGATAATTGGTTTCAAAACAATATAAAAAAATTTGGTTTGGATAATGCTTCATATCACAGTCTATTAAAGAAGTCACTATACCTACAAGAAGATGGAAAAAGAAGATATGTCAAAATGGCTTAATTCTGAAAATATTATCAGTCCTCCTAAATCCTTGAAGGCAGAATTACTCGTAATAGCAACATAAAAACAAATTCAAAAAATATATTATAAACGAGATGGCCAGAGAAAAATTAAAATTCTCATTTGCATCCTTACCACGGAGAGTTGAATCCCATTGAACTCACAATTAAAAGCTTATGTTTTTAGAAACAATACAACATTTAAATTACCTGATATGCGATATTTGTTTTTGAAGGCAGTTTCAGATGTAAATGAAGGACATTGGAGAAAATGCATTGATCATGTTAAAAAAATTATAAAATTCAATTTGGAAAGTAGATATAGCAATGGAAACTTAATAGACCTTGTAATAATAAACCTCAGAAAATCCAATGATAATGATACCAGTAGTTATACTGAAGACAGTGACTTTTAAAGATAGTTCTTGAACTTTTTATTTTTTTTTTAATCTCTGATTTTAGGTAGGTACTGAAGTGTTACTTTTAATGTCAAGAGAATAAAACAAGTTTAATCCCATTAACAACATTGTTATTTATTGGTTATTTAATTCATTTAATGTTAAAGTGCAACAATTTTGTCAGAAGCATAAGGTTTATTTTTATTTTACATTATTCATTCAAAATTTTATCTACGAAGTGCGTATATACCATTTTATATGCCGTGACTTTATTTATAATATAGAAACTTATTTTGCATAGTACGCCTATGGAATGTGACGTTATATTCCCACTTTTACTGCACTCCTCTTTTATTTACACCATACTATTTGCAAACAAAAATCATCAGAAAAAAGGATATTATTTTTCCCTTTGAAAAATTTTTTTCAAATTATGATAGAAATTAATACTAATATTATTATTTCATACTTATATAAAATTACTAATAGCATATTGTAAGTAAAATTGTATACATACGTCGTGGGAATTCATTCTATCCTATCGTCTGTATCTTGAAGCTCGACTGCAATAGAGTACTTCCCCGCTCGGTAAGTAATAATAGTGATTATCAACTGCGTTAGTTATTCACATATTTTAAAATGTTTAAAAACTTCCTGTTCAAATGTTCATACAGTGTCAGCTAATGAACGTTTTTCGATACGCTTTGCAAAGGTGCATGTAAAAACTACAGAGAGCATTAAAGCAAAGCTAACAGGAAAGGAATAATATCAGCGTTGCTAGTTTATATGACCCGGCTCGACCGCGTTGTAAGGTTAGTGTTTAAATAATTTAGTCAATAAGGCAACATATTAAAAAAGTGTGATTTATTGACATTACTCGTTACAAAATACCAAATGCAGTACAACAAAAATGAAAATTATATTATAAAACGCCATTTTATAGTAGACTAGAATCTACTCAAAATAATAAAAACAATAGGATTTATACTCCTGAGTCCACTATTGATATAGGTCGCGATAGCCCTTTTTCCTTTTGTAATATTGTAGCTTAAAATATTAATAGGTATGTGTAAATCACATTTTAAAAATTCATTTCTTTAAAAAAAAAAGTGAAAAATAACCAGACATATTCAATCTGAACAGTGTAATAGTTTTACACCAGTATTTCTAACATACTTTAAAAATAATTTAAAGTATGAACTTGAGTTGTTTATAAAATTTGCCAATGTGAATAGCAAACTGTAAATTCTTGAAGAACAAATACGTGCTAAGGTTCTTGCATTGAAAAATGTTCATAATTGTTTCAAAAACAATATATTTACAAAAACAAGGCTAAACAAATAGAACCAGTTTTCCAAAATTTTCTTGCAAGTTCAATCCTTTTTCAAATATTTTTTTAATTAATATTAACATCCTTCAAGTTCCTTAGGCACAATCGAAAAAAAAATGAATTTTAAACACATACCTACAAAATTATTCAAGACTACATTTCTTTACTAATAAACAGTAAAAAATTAAAAGAAAAACACTAATGTTGCATGGGTATGCAAGGGCCAACGCAAGGACCACAAGGCGCGCAAGGACGAGCGGGACAAGGGGCGCAAAGAGGACAATCTCCAGGAGGCGAAGGCCCGCATGGTGCAACGCAAGGCATATTCTGTGCCATTGCAGGAGGAAATATCCCACAAGGAGCAGCGCTGACAGGAGGACAAGGACCGCAAGGAATAGGTCCACAAGGAACTCCGCAGGGAGGAGCGCAAGGGCCACACGGAGGACACAGCGGCGGAAGCATTGGTGGACAGCATGGAGGTGGAGGGGGAGAACATACGGGACTGCAAGGACCATAAGGACCGAACGTGCTTTTAGGTGCGCAGCCCGGAGCTGGATTGCTTCTGATGAATGCTGGATACGCTGGACATTCTTCGATACCTACATCTTTATATCGTAATGGCAAATGTTGACCGTTGGCGTACATGCTTGGTCCGCATGAGGCGTATGGCTTGGTCATGCATTCCGGGGCACCTAGACACCCTTGTCTTTGACATCTATCCTGAAATAACAGTGTTGATTAGCAGATTGTATAAAAATGTAGGTGTGCTCAAAGGTGACTGGCCGAGAGCTGCTTCTAAAATATAGCCTCAGGACAATACATTTTTAAAGCTGTTTAAGGTAGTTCACTCGCGACAGTCCTACATAAAAATATCGCCTTATAGTGAATAACAAAAGTTCGAGATTCTCAATGCTAAAAAATATTATTTTTGTAAAGAGACTGTACAGAACACATGTAAGCTTATATATACGGATACGTTATTATTTCAAGTAAAATCCACCCGGCAACGTCGCAAATAAATGAATGACGGGCTATCAAGAGAGTGTGTATGTATACCTATAAAAATTTGTGACGGTTAAACGCAGTCTGAGGAGTATAAGAGTAAATATGTGGAGGCAGGAGACTGTTTAAAGTCTCTAAATTTCTATGTATGTTATCTCTTGGTGTTAGATCAAACTAGACCAACCTCAAAATTAAAGACTTACTTGTAAACCATTTCTTTTTTCGCAATGACATCCAAACATCATGACACCTCCTTTAATCTCCCTAGACCTCGGCCTTTTACCGCAAATTATCTTAACTTTAGGTCTTCTATAGCCAACTATCATTTTCGGGTTACAGGGAATACATGGGCCCGGCGATGGCCCGCACAGTGGTAAACAAGGAGGAGGAACGGGACCAACACATGGCAAGTTGGGAGCCATGCACGTTGGTCCATAAGCCGGTGAACAGCATAATCCAGGTGGAGCAGGCGAGGGATAACATGGAGGGGACATTTTACACGACACTAATTTGGATCGCAACAAAAAAATGGATACTTTAAATTTTTATCATAATTTGATTCAGAATTTATAGATTTTGAATTTTGAAGTACGCGTCAGAAATTATTGACAGATTTTAGTTGTTTATTTTGCGCAGTGACACAGTTTATAGCTAAAGAATCAGTTAGCTCACTCCGCTTCGGCACTTGTGATCTCAATGTTCTAGTTTAAACATTGCGCAACTCGGATTTGTATCCCTGGCGCATACAGAATCAAATCATAATAGCCCAAGCCCAAGAGCCAACTGAAAATTTTTACCGTCATCAGATAACAAAATGAAATTTACCCCAAATATTGTACTTTACCAAAGTGCCAATCCCAATCCTGAGCAAAAGCGGTTAAAAAAAAATAATTTTATATTAAAAAATCACATAAGGCATGACAGCGCTGATTTTGTTTACCCTTAAAGTTTTCCAGAAAATAATATATTCAAACATATCTTGATAGGCTTGTTCTTGTTTCTTCTAGTGAAATAGTTGAATATTTAATTGTGCGTCGCGTAAAACTTTTATATATTTATATCGTCAAAAGGAAACATTTTCTTCCTCCTAACATCGCACAGAAACATCTATCTACGATCAGTAGATAAAAATCATTAAATATATGAATCAATTATTGCTGATTTAAAAATTTATTTGTATGACTATTGTTGTGATTAATTTTTACAGGTTGCCATAGAAACGACAAACCTTTTACACATACACATGGTTTAAAAAGTAGATAAAAATATTAATAATTCAGGTTTAAGGGCTAGGTTCATGATGAATTAGGAATGCAATTTTCAGGGAAAACACAATTGCCTCTGTCATGTGATTTTTTGACCATAAAATAATTTTTTTAAACACTGCTTAGAATAGGGATGGCACAGGTGCAATTTGGTTGGACCATATTTAATTTCGTTATCAGATGAAGGTCGAAATTTGCAGTGGGTCCTCTTACTATGACCAATACAATATGACAACCGCCCATATTCAAACAACACTCTTCTGCAAATCCTGAATTTGTATCCCTGGAGTGGATATTATTTTGGAACAACCAATTGGTCCGAGTGGGCTAACTGATTCTTTAGCTATAAACTGTGGCAGTGACTTATCAACGATTGTTTAGGGCTCTAATCTCTGGTTTAGGGGTTTTAAACGGTTGTAACCACTCCTGGGGTTTGTTCGGGTAGCAGGTAAATTCTAGATAGTCGGAGACAGAGTTCTTTGGAAATAAAACTTTATTCTAACAATTTAAATACAGATAACAATATTTACAATATGTACATGAAAAGGTTCTAACTACATTTCGAATCGTCGTGTCTTCAAATGTTGTTTACCCAAAATATATTTTGTGCGTCGGTTCGGCGTTTCTTAGTGGTCCAGGATGGTGTGGCGAAGATGTGACAAAAGCTTAGGTCACGTTTACGGTAATGGAAGTCCCTCGAAGTCAATACCTTCGTGGGAGGGATTCACGGAAAGGAAAACCTGCAAAGTCAATACCTTTGCAGGCAAGGGTCGGGACGTCGGGAAGCCTACAGAGTCAATACCTCTGCAGGAGCAGAAGAGGAGAGTCTTACTAAGTCAGTACCTTAGTTCGACTAACGAGAATTAAAATCGAAGCTCTTTATATACTTGTCTCTGCTTGGCAAAAAAGAATAAATTACGAACTAAAATAGTTTTTAGAGTTCTAATACCTACCTTTAGTCAAATTGTCTCTTGAGATTTACACAAGTATTAAAAGTAATTTTAAAAAACCGACTTCAAAATCGTGCAGACGCCATCACCATATCTTTACCAAATTTATATGGGACCACCCCTGAGGTACCCCCTTACTAACCAAAAAGGAATAATAGAAATAGGATTAGGTGTTAAAGAATTATCGCTAAACATACGTAAAAAATGAAGTTTGAGAATTTTCTCATGGACCCAATTATTAGATTTTGACAAAATTTATATGGTACTACCCCTAAAGTACGTTCTTACTAACAAGAGAAAATAAAACATAAAATCGGACAAGGTGGTAAAAGAGTACAATTCTTTTTCTTCTTCCCGATGAGAGTAACATTCACCTCTACAATGAACATAGTTACCTTAACATAGTTTAAATTGATCCTATACAACCGGCCTTGTTTTCAAATAATTTTTTAAACACGTTCCAAAACGCTAGGATTTCGTTTTTCTGAATAAAAAAGGAACAGCACTATTTGATTATGATCTTCCTTGTTAAAACTTTCAAGTACACATACTTAGATTTTAAAATAAAGCCCTTAATACTGCTTAAATTTTAGATCACGTTCGTTTACTAATAAAAAAAAATGTGCCAAAAAACGTCATAGTTAACAAAGTTTTATGAACGTACTTTAAAGGGACTGACAAAAATATTGATGTTATAGGAACCAATGGCAAATAAAAACAAATAGTATCTACTCAGAAAACTTTATTATTTGTTACTTCACAAACTAGAACGCAGGAAAAACATAGGTACTTTTAAAACTTTCAGTTACTTGATGAAATGACGAGATCAACAAACTCCCCTAGCAGTAGGTACTTAATCTTCCATTATACTAAAAAGAAATAATAAGTACATTATACACTAAGGTTTAGAAATGAGCTATTATTTACCGAGCACTTTTATATCCTGAGGCGCGTAGCACCGAAGGATACAATGTGCGAGGTTTATAATCTTCTCAAACAAAACTAAATGCAATTCAATTTTAATAATAATTTTTATCATACAACTTTCCAGTGTTGATTTTTAGATTTTTGCTTAGAATTAAGTTAATAATAGTTTCTGTTCATTTCATTAAAAATATAGACAATGATATATTATTTACTTATCTGAGAAATATTCTCATCAGAGTGTAGTAAATAATGTAGATTTCTCATGTTAGTAGTGAAAAAAAAATATTTTAACTATCATCTAAAATAAATCGTCCCCGACAATCTAGTTAATTCTTAATTTAATATTGGTACTTACTTTAATCAGAAAAACAAAAACTATACGGTATCAAAATATAGACCATTGTGTACAATGTCTAATTTAGAAAAAGTCTGTTGATAATTTTTAACAACCACCTGTAATAAACTAGTTTCGTCCATTGTCACATCTTCTCAATAATCATAAAAATATTAAAAATACAGTTATATCAGGAGTACCACAAGGGGACCAAGTATGATCAGTCATCTTTCATGTGAATTACCAACAGCATTTTTTGTACTTATTAATCTAAAGTGAAATACTGTGTTAAAAAATCTACAGGAAACCTCAAATAAAAAAAACTGAAAAATTTAGAATCAATAGAAAAATTGTATTATCATCTCAATTTAACAAATATGTTTAAACCCAAATTATCATTTTATATTAAAGTTCAGTGAGAGTTTAACAATAATTATTTTTATATTACAAAATTTTATCTACAAACAGTTCTTTGTAGACAAACAACCTAAAAATTTCTGCTTTTGTTTTGTATTCTAATAATTACTAATAACGTTTTTCCTTATGGCACTGGACATTAGTAAGAAAGCCTACAGACAATTTATTGCCGGGGACGAAATATCTATGAACCCAATCTACATAAAGAATAAAACCAAGTTGTAAAACGATTTATTGTATCTTATACAATGTTTCTACATTTTTAACTTTCTACAAATCATGACGAATGTGGAATAACTTCTTTAAAATCGGAAATTCCTTATCACTCTCTCCTTCGTATAATTACCAAGAACACAAAACGGACGTACAACTTAACAAGGACGAGGTCCGGGAGAGTTTACACGATAATAAGGTGGTCCACAAGGACCGCCTTTGGGACAAGGTCCGTTGGGGGGACACCAAGGTGAGCATGCCGGTTGATGACAAACAGGAGGGCAACAATATGGTGGAGGTCTACAAGATGGGCCACAAGGACCACAAGGACCGCAGGGACCACAGGGACCACAGGGACCACAGGGACCACAAGGACCACAAGGACCACAGGGTGGTTTCATGAGAGGTGAAAACGGACAATCTGGAATAGCAGGTGTGAGTGGTCCGCTGCAGACAGGCGGTGGCAAGCAAGAAGGAAGCGGCGCCGTCATAGGAAGTCCAGGAGGTGAACAAGTAGGCACGCAAGGTTTGGGACAAGGAGGCGGACACACCGGAGGTGGTTGCACAGGAATGCACGGTATAGGAGGTGGACAAGGCACAGGCATTGGAGGCTGTGGTACCACAGGCACGATTTGTCCAACTGGAACAATAGTGGGAGGCGTTGGACAAACTATTGGAGGACAAGGTGGTTTAGCGACAAGAGGCACACAAGGCGGTGGACATACCGGACTGGGACAAGGTCCTGGCGAACAAGGACCACAAGCACCGCAACCTGGTCCACCAGGTGTACCCGGACCACACAAGCCTGGGGGACAAGAAGGGCCACACGGAGGACAGGGCGCACAAGGACCACAACAAGGACCGCCCGGCCCGCACGGTCCACATGGTCCACAAGGTCCACAAGGTCCACAGGGTCCACAAGGCCCACACGGCCCGCAACAACCTCCAGGTCCGAAGGGAAAGGATGGGAACGGGCCGCAAGGAGGACAGTTCGGTAGTCTGATGTAAGCTGGGTAACACTGGTATTCTTCAACGTCCCACATTCGCTTTGGAAGCCGGCCTCTATGGGCGCCAATACTCGGGTGGCATATTGGCCCGTCCTTTGTGCAACATTCCGGTGCACCCTTACATTCAAATCTTGGACAGCGATCCTAAAATAAACAAAATATTAAGTTATGTTTTCGTTAATAATACTATTTTGGAAATAAGCCTAAAAATATTAAAAAAAGGAAGACAAAATATTTATAATTAGTACCATAATACAATAGAATTTTACAGCTATTCGAGGTACAAAAACACCAATTTGGTTAAATAAAAATTAATGACCTGAATAGTGTAAATTAACAAACCAACTAGAGTATAGATTATTATGTATCCAAAATATACAAAGAAAAAGGTGAGTAAGGTCGATAATGCTATTAAAAGGGCCCAAAAACCGAAAATCACCTACTCAAAGTAGTGGAGAGTGAACCAATGTGAAATTCTGCTAAGATAGAATATAAAATAGCTAAGTGATGCAACCAAATAATTTGAAATGTAAGGAAAAATAGTGTACCTACGTAATAAGACGTCTGATAACAGAGTTGACTTTGTGCAACAACTGGATTAAAACCATTAAAGATCTCCAGAAGGTTTATAAGGGTATGAAATAGTTGAAAAGTATAAAACTTACTTGTAAACCATTGTTTCTTTCGCAGAGACATCCGTACATGAGGATACTCCCCCTCAATTCTCTAGATCTGGGTCTTCTTCCGCAGATGATCTTTACTTTGGGTCTCCTATAGCACACCATCATTTTAGGAGGGTTACATGGGACGCAAGGTTGTTCCTCTTGACAAGGATCGCAGAGGGGTACGCACGGAGGAACGGTGGGGGTACATATAGGCATAACGGGCGGTACCATTACTGGACCAGTTGGTAAGCAAGTGTTAGGATAACCTAAAATTAATAATTAATTATTTCGTTTTTGTGCAAACAAATATACTACTGAAATTTTAAAGTAAGCTTTTAGATACTTTGACACACAAAAATTTTGGATCCACTGACACTAAAAAAAGGAATATTATATAAACTTACCACAAGGGCCGCATGGGCCACATGGTCCGCAAGGTCCACAAGGTCCACAAGGTCCGCATGGTCCACATGGGCCTGGTCCACAAGGCCCACAAGGCCCACATGGCCCACATGGTCCAGGTCCGCAAGGTCCGCAAGGTCCGCACGGCCCGCATGGACCACAGGGTCCACATGGGCCACACGGTCCACATGGTCCTACTGGACCAGGTCCGCAAGGAGGAGGTATAAATGGAGTACAGATGGGTACGCAAGGTTTGGGCATGGGATCGTAGATCTCAATAACGGGACCCACTGGGGACGCACAGCTGATTCCCACTGGTTTGGGTGGCGGTGGGCAATAGCTTCCGTCGATTTGACATGCTAAATTTTTGAGATCATTCAACAGGTTTTTTCTTCTTGCCGCCGCGTCTGGACATAGGGGAGCCATTGTGTAATAGCACTTGATGTAATTTTGAAAATAGAATAATGAATTTTATTTAAAATTTGGGCATAATTTTGATAAAATTTTGGAAAGTGGGAAATTTTAAACTACTGTCATAAAAATTTTGATAATAATATTGATTTATTTAATAGTCATGGTAATTCATATCAAGTGTCATGTCATCATGGTATCTAAATCAAACAAATGGATTTTTGTAGGGATACGTCATGGAGGACGATCTACCTCCATGGGCACTGAGATAGAATAAAGAGGAGATGCTATGATGATGATAAATTGTCCGTACCTTTGAATTACATTTTTACGTTAGTGTCAAATTCGAGATAGTATAGCTAGTCAGTTTGGGTGAGAATAAATGCCATTTTTTTAAATAGCCTCATTTAAATGATATAAAATCATTATCATTCCGCCAGTCTTCTGTCATATCGCAAAATAGTGTCGTGTCTATTTTACTCTATCTTGATGTTCATGGGATACGTACTTTTAAAGTTTTATTGTATCATGCGATAATCCCATTTACTAATATTTTAGACAAGAATGAGGCTGGGCCAAGAAAGAAGGGAGACGAAATGCAAAGACTGTACTACCAATGACTATGAGGGTTCCTCCCTATGCTGCCTTGTTATAAACATTTTTTTTTACCCCTTCTTTTATCCTAATGCATTTGAGAATAATTAAATATCTTTTTGACTTTGATTTTAGATTTTAAACCTGTTTTAAATAATCAGCTATTTTTCGCCAGCTTGCATTTTTTCAATAACTCCTTGGAATATTTGTTGACAGTATCCTGAAGTAAATACTATTTAAATTGTACTTTATATACGAGGGTTGATACCGATTAACATTTTTGACTGTTTTATACAACAAACGATTTACTTCTTAATTTTTGGTTGGAATTTTAAATAATTTCATGTTAATTATACTTATTTTCTTACCAGATAACAAACTCTATCCTATAACTCGACTACCGTTCTGAACCTCTTTTTTCTTTGGCCTTTTACTTTCGTTAACCGACTTCAAAAAAGGAGGAGGTTCTCAATTCGTCGCGATATTTTTTGCTTATGTATGTTCAGCGATAATTCTTTAACACGGTGTCCGATTTCAATGTTTCTTTTTTTGTTAGAAAGGGGGTACTTCAGGGGTGGTCCCATATATATTTGGTCAAAATCTAATAATTGGGTCTATGAGAAAATCCTCAAACTCTTCATTTTTTATGTATGTTTAGCGATAATGCTTTACCACCTTGTCCGATTTATATAATTCTTTTTTTGTTAGTAAGAGGGTACCTCAGGGATGGTCCCATATAAATTTGGCACGTTTTTAAAGTCGGTTTTTTTAAATTTTTAATTTCTAATACTTGTATCTTGTTAGCTTAGTAGTGAAGAGGACAAGAAATAATTGATTTATTTTAATTAAAACCTAGTTATAAATAATTAAATTGTGCTAAAAGAATTATAATTATTTATTTATTAGTGTCCATCGTGGACATTTTTTGGACATCCGTTGGACTACTGAATAGGTATAACCATTGAAATAACGGAAAATGGTTATCCATTGGACATCCGTATGAAGTTCATGGACATCCAGGACATTATTTGGACAAAATATGGACGTTCAATGGACGTCGTGTACTGTTAAATATTAAATTGTTATAAAGTTTGGTTTTTAGTCAAAAATTATATCAAAATGCTTAAAACGTTGTCACCAACCTTAAAAATCTTACTCTTAATGTATTACTTACTTTATTCTCAACGGAAAATCTACCATTGAGGTAGCTGGTAGAATAATTTTATAAATAATTTTGTACATTATGATTAATATAAAGAAAGAACACTAAGATCTGGTTGTATAACTAGAGTTCAAGAAAGAGTTCAAAGAACCTGGTTTTGTCTCTGATATTATCATGTGATAAAACAATTAATTTTTTTTTAATGTGATTTTTTTCATAGACCGTTGTAAAGAGGCTTCCAAGACCTTACAAATGAAGCGCCCCCTCATAGGGGGTTGCTCGTTCAAGCCTCAAATATACGTTAAAAGATGTCTCCCAAAGAAAATCATCCGACGTGTTTTGGGAAATTTTTCCAATTAATATGGGATAAGAAATATATGGGATGGCTCGTCTGAGATGGAACACCCTGTATAATAACAAAGAGTGACATATTGTTAATCGCATAATCTAATGCATAAAACGTGCGATTAAAAGTTAATTTTACGAGTCTGAAGGAAAACGTCGTGCAAAATTTGGAAAACGGGTGCTGTTTCATCAGAACAATGCTTCCAGTTATGCTTCTATGCTGCTATTTATCAATCGGGATTCCAAGTGGTAGAACATCCACCCTATTTACCAGATTGGGCCCTAGCGTCTTCAGACTTTTTCCGAAACTGAAATAAGTTTGTGTAGAAGAAAAATTTCAAGTGCGAGAATGATGTTATGCCAAAAATGAATGATTTGAAAAGGCAGAGGAAGATTTCTTCCGTGACGCTCCAGCGCAGTATTTTACTAGTAGGTATATGAGACAAAATACTGTTATGGATCTATTAAGATATTGTAACAGTACGCCTCTGGTCTTGGAACGCATGTGACACTTCAAACGCGGCGCTTCTTGGAATATTCGGCGCATTTCGAATCAGCAACATCTACATTTGAATTCAGTTACATCGCTGCCGTCGCGACGCTCTGTTGTCATCGACCCGACGCTCTCCGTCCTCCAACCGTCGTCTTCGAAGAAGACCGTCAGACGAACTGGATACGGTGTGGGTTTTACGGGAAAGTCATTGTACCTTTCTTGGCGCGAATCGTATCGTTGTCTCCGTTTTACCTGTTCGATTATCATATGCTCCATCTCTAGACTGGATTTGGAGGATGTTTTTTGGAGAACATTTTCAGGGTAATTGCATTGTTTATTCCATTTAGGATTATGGGCATTATTTCCCGAGAGTTGTGACGTTTATCAGGTAAATTATAGCTTTTGTTTATTGCAACAGGAACAATAAATTAGGTGTATGTTAAACCACTATTTAAACAACAAAAATCTTTTTACTTTCTTGTCTGTATACAAATAAGGAAAGTATAGGAATAATTATTTTCTTGACCTCGTATTTTCGACGGATTTTTACGTTTTGGGGTCCCCTGAGTCCGTTTTGACTTTTTTCGCGATGATGTATGTGTGTATGTGTTTCTCTATCCACGATAACTTAAAACCGAAAAAAGAGAAAAAATGTAATCTTCTAATGAGCTGATAGTTGGGTAGGGCAAATTAAGAACATCGGGGGATACTTTATAGGGGGTAATTTTTCTACTTTAAAGAATATATCTGTTATTTACGATGGAGGAGAAAATTCGTCAAATAAAAGTTTCTCGTGATGTAATTCTCTGTAATTTTTGTATTATACATGATTTCCCTTATATGGTCCTTATTCGAGAAATTTGACAAAAAGTGCAAAATTCGAATCTTTAAGAAAATTGCAGAGTGCGCAAAAATTTCCAGAAAATAATTTAGCCACGTGTTTTATTCGGTAAGAAAATGTTACACCGAAGTATGAAAATATTGTTTTCTAATTATAAATATTCATACGCATGGCTCCAGGTCGTATTAGAATAAAACCAAAGGGTGTTTCAAAAAAGTTTATGGGTTGGGAAACACCGCCACGATTTGTAATTTTATAGATTACTAGCCATATATTGAGATCTAACATTGGCCCCAAGTCTACAATTCTATCTTCTTACTTGTTGAAACTCTTGGCAACACTGTATAAAAATTACAAAAACTTAGGTTTGGAACATCAAATCTTGCAACTTGCAAATTCGTTTTCCGAATATTCTTGTTTTCCTATTAATCGCACCTCTTTATATATTGTAGGAAGAGTAAATTCGAATAAAAATTAGGTGAATGTTATTATTTATTTTAAAAATTCTGGACAAAGCATGAAGTAGTATTTAAAAATTTTTAATTTTTGCTATTGTTGATGTGTCTTTTTAAATAAAAAATTAAAATTAATATTTTGTGGAACTGTTTAAGAATATATAATTCAGAATATCATGCCAACTTTTTTTAAATAACTTTTTAAATATGATGTACTTTTGAACCATCCTGTATAGGAAATAACTCATATTATTGAAACATTTTTTACGAGCTTTCCAATGATGAAGATATGACAAGTAGGAGTTGATATTTATTTTTATTTGTATAGAAAGGGGTCGCATTGGGGGTTGATGGGGATGAGCTCTGTATTTTGTCATTTAAGTTTCTCATTCTTAGCCTAGGAACGGTTTCTCATGCCATCTTTATTTAGTTCATGAGAAATAAGCATTATACGTTTTTAAATTACCCTTCGATAAAGCATTCAATTATGTAAATAATATTTTCCTTCAAGAACTATCTGACGTAGATGAAATGAATAGAAAGGAAACATTTACTACTTTTATGAAAGTGCTATTATTATGTTACTCTTCTGGGCAAATTAAAATTAGCAATTACAGAAAAAACACCTGAATAAATTCCAAAAAGTGCTGTTCCTTACTAATACACCTTCTCACGCTAATTTAATTGTTCGAAATACAATGTTTAAACTGCGAATACAAGTTGTTCCCCACCCACCCTAGTCGCCAGACGTAGCTCCGAGTGATTTCAGGTATTCCCCAAACCTAAGCACCTGCTGAAAAGAAATTTAAGTACTTAAGGTGAAGAATTTATTGCTGTATTATATCAGCATTTAACGAACTTTACGCTTATCATTGAAGAAACTGGTGTAATATTACTACAGTAACGCTGGATCAAGTGAGTCAAAATGATTTTTTGTTATGTTTCATTTGAATTTCTTCATTGATGATGTCGGTCAACCGCATAAATTAAATTATAAATGTGCATTATTTAGTTTTATTATCTACTAGTTTATTAATAGTCTGTTATAGATCCAATCATTTCTCATCTCGTATAATAAAATAGAGTAAAACGAAAATACAGGGAAAATCTGTGAAACGTAACTTATTAATTTAGGATAGAAAGAAAAATACATTATTAAAATTACGAGTGATTCACAAGAACATTTTGAAAGTATGTCATGATTGACAGAAACAGAGATACGAGCTATGTCCATGATAACTACGCATGGTTCTGGATTAAATTCAAACTGCTGATGATGATGATGATTTTGAAGAATTATACGCACGCTCATTCGTAAATGCAAGGACCACTTGAGAAATATTTTAGAACGATATTTGGTGCGTATTTTAAAGAAAACTAGAAATGTCACTTCAATTAATAAAGATATCTCAACAAAAACGGGAAATAAGCCCACTCATCAGTGCAGGGTAAATATGATGAAGGACCTGTAGAATCCAGTATGTTTTAGTAACTCTGCATACATATTTATTTGACTTGGATGCTTGAAATAATCTCTGATAAAGAAATGAAATATAGAAAAGTCTGGATTTTTTTTAAAGCCAGTACCTACCCTTCTCTCTATTACTTTCTCTTTCTTCTAAGTCCTTGATGTGATTCGTCTATTTTGAATAGCAGCAGCAAAATTTAGTCAAAACTATTAATAAGAACTTGGGAATATTACTTGTGATTTTATATTCCCAGGGTATATTTTTAAAGTTTTTAGAGTTTCTAGTTTATTTTTTAAAGAATGTTATTAGTTGCAGGTCTAAAAATTACTATTCAATGTTTTGCTTGCCCTAAAACATACATTTAGAGTAGTTTCATGTCGTAAGTAAATAAAAAACATAGGCGGTACAAATATATTGTAGAATATTATTAGTAATTTTTATGCAGGTTTCCAACAAACCTTGAAGCAATTAAAATTTGGATTCAAAACCTATAATTAGGAACAGTTGAAGTTGATAAAATTAACAAAAACACTAAAATATTTTCAACTTGGCCTGTGTTCAAGTAAGTTATACAAAGAAGTTTTAAATAATATTTTGTAATATCTACTACAAATTATGAATACATTTTAAATCTATATAGTGATTAAATAACAAAATATTGCTACTGTATCCTCCTTGACAAAGTAAAATAATTCTTAGTGCTCAATGAAGATGGCGGAAGCTGTAATTTAGTGAAAATAATTTATATAAAAGTTTCTAATCTCCAAATATTAAAATAAGCTTACGTAGATTACACTGTAAATATTTTATAAATCATTTTGGGGAAAATTCAACCTCCTACTGAGTGTAGTGAAAGACAGAGTCCAGAAAAGATTTATAATTATAATACTTTGCACATACTGGATCAGAAAATTCAAGTTGTTCCACTGACATTGCTCCTAAACTTATAGAATATATTTTTTAATTTATAAAGAAAAAAATCCATAAAAGTGCCTAAATTCAGAGAAAGAAAGTTATGATAAAAATAATAGGTAAATTTAAAAATATATATAAAGGGTGTCCCAAACCAGAATACCAATATAAAGTTATATTTTTTAAATGTATTTTCTTTTAATTTTAACAACACTACATTTTCAAATATGTCAAATAAATCGGCAACTCTCAAAGATAGGTGTAGGGAATCTTTATTAAACTAAGCTAATTTTTAAGAGTTGAACTTAAAATTAGAAGAAAATACATGGTGTCCCATTAAAAAAATATAATTTTATATTGGTATTCTGGTTTGGGACATCCTGTATATATTAAACTAATTTTAAATTGTAGCTGCCACTGAGTTATATTTTTGTGACGAAGGCATTTTTGTATTTTGTACTTTACCCACCAGGTTCCGTCTCGTTGAGCATGACGCACTCTGTATTATTATTTATAAATTCAAAATTTTATATTTCTACTTTTCAGAATCACTCTATAATCATAATATAAAATATATGTTTTTATCAACGTAAAATTTAAATATCTTGTTTAGAAAGTAAACAAAACTAACCATCTTTACTTTTTTACAGATAGTATGCAGTTCATAGTCTTCCTAAAGATCTACTAGAATCTCGAAAATATGGAAAAACTCAAGTGGTCTGAACGGCTGTTCGGAAAAAAACTCATTAAATGCGAGACTTTGAACAATAATTCTAACAATTTTGATTTGGTTTCTACGAGTGAAATGCTAGATGTCGCGAGCATAACGGGTGTTTATTTTTCATTCGCTAACATCAATTTACAGAGTGATGAGTTTATTAATAAGTTGAAAGACCTGTACGTAAGACTGAAAAATGAGAGTTGTAATGAAGAAAAGAAGTTCGAAGTGATACAGGTTAGTATTGAAATAAGTAGTTATTTGTGTAACTAGTGCAATACAAGAAATATTACTAATTCATAGAATAGTTCTATCAATGACATGAATAGTTGAAACTAACGTTATTTTTATACGACAAACTTCATTTCTAGTAATTTTTAAAACTTTGTTTTTATTGTTGCCTGTAGATGTCTCAGTGTCTTCACTTAAAACTCTTTATCAGATTGTGTATTGGTACTTGGTTCACCTTTCAGAAGTTGAACCGGTATTACAGTTTTTTTTATAATTGCCTCCTCATTATATTCCTAAACTATAGTTGAAGATTTTCATCCTCCATGGGGTTTTAATGTTAACATGTCTATTCCTAATTCAACAAAGAATGTTGCAGAAGTTCTACGAAAATAGTGACCTGTGTATTACATTGAATTTTCAATATTCAAGTATTTTGCAATATCACTTGGAATTTTACTAAAAAAATAACTGTTTAAGGCACACAAAGTTAACTTTAACACCGACAGGGGCAGTTTAAAGACTAATATACTTTTTTCTTCATATATTTCATTTAACTTCATTATATCATTCCTATTATTTGTTCTTGAACCCTGCAATATCGCATAAAGAGCTCTGTCTCAAATAAGGAGGTATATTTTCCTATTTCACAGCTAAGGTTGGTGTCCAGTGCCTTCCGTAGTCTTAGAACCTATCTGTATGTAAGATTTGTTTCTGTCGTTGGGTACTGGATCCCTTTTAGTTATATCCGTTCTACTTGGTATTAAAACCATGAATGAAGTTTGATGGAGTAACGCTTGATATGTCATCTGTTCTCATGATTGTCTGGCATGTATTCGGTCACTAACGTTAAGATACTTATGTGACCTGGTCTAATGTTATTTTATTCTGTTATTATATTCTGTTAGCACTTAATCTTGCCTCCTCCTATATTACAAAGTGAAGCGGAGGCAAGCTTATTAGTACTTTCATTGCAACTGTTTAGGTGCTTTTCATTGCCCGCGTTTTTCAAGGACAATGCCTTTTTATTTTAATTTGTTTCGTTATTGAAGCTCTTTTTCGTGTCTTTGGCCACCACACCAAAGCTGCATATGTTATTATCGATTTTACTATCATGGTTTAAATTTCAATTTTTTTTTTATAAAGGAACCGCTTGCCATCACTAGTGATGATTCCACTAACCTTGTCATTCTTTTAAAATACTGAGGACAGGTAAGTTTGGAGTTAATTATAACTTCGAGATACTTTATTTTCCTCTTTAGTTTGATATCTTTACCTCATAAGTTTAATAGGGTTCTCTCAAATTTTCATGCATTGCACATGAATGTAATTATGGTAGATTTATTGGGACCCATTTTTAGATTCTTTATTCCTTATTTTTATTTTATTACTATGTTTATAGCCTTTTGCATCACGGATTATATAGGTACTATTGAAATATCAATCCAGTTTTTTTAAAAAAAAATCATTTAAATATTTGATGATCTTTCTATTACTATCGTTTTCTCTTTCAGGTCGTTATGTGGGCCCACAACGATAATTATGGAGACATCGAGAGCAGCCATCGCGAAAATCTAATGGGGTTGCCCTGGTTTGCCATGCCTTTTAGTGAGATTGATTTGAAGGTGGGTCACTGCCCTTTTATCTGAACCCTTTTTTCCCGTTTTTGTTATCGAAATAAATTGCTTTCCAGAGAGATTTCTTTAATCTTCTAGTTTTATATTGAAGAATATTCAGGAATATACGTGTTGCATAATGATAATGTATATGGACTCATGAATACTTATAAATATGGATAAAAAGACCAATAAAGCCTAAAATAAGTGTTCGGAAAATCTATTATGATTTTTGTAACCATTAAACAAAGACAGAAAAATTAACGTTTAGCACCTCTAAAAATCCGAAAAAAAATATCCAGGCAAAAATACCGATATAAAAAATTACAAAAAGAAACTACAAAAAAAAAAACAGAAACTCCACAAAAAAGCTTCAAAAAATAACGCGAAAAATATAAATTAAACAAATAGATTGGAAAATCATAAAAAATGTATAAGACTGTCCACGGGATGAGATACGTACCACCAATTTAACATCCCTCAAATTTTTCCTTGATCCCGTATATCTACAGCTTTATCTTTGATTTTTTCTATTTATATACTTGATTATATTCCATTCTTGATTATATTCCAAAATTCTCTGTTATCTGCTTCGATAGTCCAATGTGTCGAGGGGTCGGTATTAACAGTAGTTTAGCGATATTGCTTCGGGTCCCATGCCAAACCATTTGACCCATTTGTTGAATACCATATTAGAGAAATATTGCGAGTTCATTTAAGGTCAGACACTATTAGCGCAGCTCTTATTTTGGTAACTGAGCATGCGCAGATCGTTAAGGTTCAAGATAGTAAAGATAGTGCCAGTCCTTAATTGTGGATGATTAACAGCAGCAAATAGAAGCAACTCTATTTAATTTCGGGTGCGCTCGCCACATTCGTATCAGTTCGAAGTTTTCTAATATTAAATATTTAATATCAGCAACATCTAAATCTCCAAAAAAATGGCCATTTCTAATACTTCTCTCATAGTATGTACTATTATAGACAAACACAAAGATGAACCATATTTAAAGTTTTTAAAATGAAGTTGGGAATCTATATAAAAACAAAGAACTCTGCCAAAACTTCAGGTTTGGTCTTATTTTAGCATGAACTTTATTTGCCTCCAATTACGTTGTCACTATTATATTGGCAGACGTTATAGAAATTTGCAATACTATTAGCAGTAATTTTTAATTCTGTTGATATTACATCTAAATTAAAAATCGCACCGGGTACTATTTCGATGATGGTGGTGGGGTTTCTTTAGCGTTTAGAGCTTCAGAGTTTCAGTTGTAAGGGGTGAATTATAGAGACAATAATATTGTTACGCAGCACCCTGTAGCGTGCTGCGGTCGTCATAAGTAAAAGTATGAGTAAAAAAAGAAGAGGGAACATTCGAGAAATGTCATTCCACATCAAGAAAAATCTGGACAGTTCAAGAAGGTTCAAAGCTATATAAGTCAGTTATCAGTTTTATAATAGACATTAGACGTTAATGTTATCAGTTGCATAGTTATTGTAAAAGTTGCGTTGAAATAAATTGGGATACCAAAAACCTGCGTAACAATATTATTAGATTATTATTTGTAGGTTTATTTTACTTCTCCGTCTACAACAATTACAATAATTAAGAAGAATGGAAATAGTGTACACACTATATATGAGGTGAGGAGTGAAATGAATACATCAGTGTGAAAATATTTTAATTTTGTTAAATATTCAAACCCTTCCTCAAAGATAAAAATTAGAAAACTTACGTCTTACTAGATACCACCTCATTAAGTCTTGGATCAAATTAAAATATTTGGAAGTTACAAAATATACACTAAAAGGGCTAGTTCTGGTTAACAAAATACTAGTTAAACCAAACAATTTAGTGAAATCCAATAATCAATATTAAAATTGATTATTGGAGTTGATGTCGATAAATAGAGAGAAGTCAACCGAGCTGAACCGTAAAAATGATCAATAATAATTAGGTTAAGGAGTATGCTTGAGTTCTAGGATTCTAGCATTCTAGGGTTCGAAGAAATCAATGCATAGTTGGTTTGGTAACTATTTTACAGACTCAATTTGAAGAGTAGAATGAAGAGCTTTTTGACTCTAACGACATACTAGACCCAAGGCTTGGAATTCGATAGACGAACTTGACCAAAAGAAGTCTGATTGTTTCACCTATATTAGTGGCTTCACAAGGATTATAGTGTAACTTATAAAAATAACATTCTGTGCCAAAATGCCAAAATTACAATAAAGGCTGTAATTTTATTGACCTAATAAACATTTATTAATTATCCCATGTTAAAATTAAAATATTGCTTTGTGTAGCCAATTTTCTTCTCTTTATGAAATACTAAATTAATAATCGTGAAAATTGTTTAGGCATCGCTAATAGAAAATGGATAAAATGAACCAAGTGATGACTCCACTCCACGGATCATTATTTATTCATTACTCACTCGTCAGTGAACGAACGAGGATTTTAACCATTCCATTATAGATCCTTCATGCGACTCTTTTCAAGAGGTGTTTGAATGCATGATTCAATCTCATTGTTTGCAAATTGCTATTCAACGTCGTAATGTATCCATAGCTTGATGATATGAGTAGGTATATAATAGATATACTGCTCGTGTTTTCAGTTCCTCCAATTCGGTGTATAACGAGTAAGTAGAATGTTGAAAAATGTTGAAAGAATCGGAGTTTTCAATTGGTTTTGCACCTGTGAACAATATACGGCATAAAAGATCGATTTTGGATACAAGGTACAAAATACTTCTAAGTTTGGGTTAAAAATTAAATAAGCAAAACCTGAAATAAAATGGATGTATTAGTCGTCGTACTTGCCATTAATTTTATTGTTTGAAACCAATCCTTGTTTAGTATATTTGACAAATAATAATCTATATTTTTCCATTTTAACAAAGAATCAATAAATATTCACAAGAACTTAGCAGTTGTATATTCTGTTTCAGAAGAACAAGTAACTGTTTGCATTTTATCTTTATATAATTTCGCTTTCAACCACTGAGTTATAGTGCAAGCCAGAATTATTTTACGTTGTTACACAATTAAATTTTAGTATTATTATTATGATTATTATACCTATACAGTGAGGACGTACAGGTTGGAATAAATTCGATATTTTTCTGTGTAACACTATTTTAACAAAATGCTATCACAGGTCAATTTTTATTTTCAACTGCGTATCTTACGCTACCATATGATGTATAATGACGTCACCACTTTCGGGTACATGAGGTGTTCTCATGAAAAATTGTTTAACAGTTTCCGAGTTCAATTTGAAACTTCAAAAAGCTGTAACTTTTCTTAAATGCATAGGTCTATCAACTTATTTTTAATAATGGTATAATTTTACCTAAATTATTGCTACACCCTGTGTTATGTTAAACAAAATGTTGCCGAGAGTAGTTCAGATAGATCCCATGAAAAACAACCAACCCTGTAGCCTATTAGCCGCCAAATACTGCCATTCGGTCCCCTCTGCCTCTCTAGCTAGTTTTGGCGCAGAGTTTAATAAAAGCAAACATAAATTAACATGCACCCCGTTGAAATGAAAGGAGATTAATAAAATGAGGAAATCCACGTTCGTCGGGATCGTTAAACACTGCTCAAACCAAGTTAACCGAGTTAATTAAAATTTCAATGAATACTATAATAATAGTCGTTGAATTGATAAGCGGGAATCTGCAGGATTTCTGTCAGCAGGTTTTTTTATGTTTGGAACGTGAATACAAAATGGCATTTAAATGTTGGATTTGAAAAAGTAAAAAAAAAGTAGTACTAACAGTTATATCAATATATAATTGATTTTATTTATTTTTATTCATTTATTTTTTATTTAGCTTACAGTGTACACGGGACTGACACTATTTACAGAACAGGGATTAACAAAAACAAATATACTGTACTATAACAAATAGAACATTTTGATTTGTTAAAAGAATGTCTTTACAAACACACAAAATGCGAGAAATTAAGAAAAAGTGCGTTTGTAATAGACAAACTTTTAGACCTCACAAATAATAATATTTTATTAGTCTTTCCTGTTTAATTAAAGAAGATTCAAATCCCATATTAGCTAAAAAACAAGAATTTCTGTTCGATAATAAAAGAAAAGCACAAAGGCCGCAAATTCAGCAAAAAAACTCGAGACGCAAAACTTTTCCAACTCCAATAAAATCAATAATAACGTTTCCTTTCTTTTCTACTATATTCCTCCCGATATTTCACAATTCTTCCCATCAATTCCCAGTAACTGTCCCAAACTGTTCAGACCTCGCTTCCAAAAACCGATAAAAAGCAAACATAATCCGACATAAATTTTTATGGGCGTAATTATCTCTAATTTTGTTTTCGTTTGTGCCGTTTTTCGAACCCTCAGGAACTTTTTAAACTCCCAGTCGCGTGTAGGATTTCAATTTTAGATAAAAAAAAAACACCATAAAATCGATCGAATCAAAACGAATTTATAATGGAGAGATTGGTTGAAAAACTCTGTTTTAAATAGAGGTTGTTTTAAAGTTTACTTTCGTTACAGAAATCAAAGTATTTACACAGAAACTGTGAATTATTTTTCTTTAGGATATAATGAATTAGTATTTTGATTCTAAATTTTACAATTATTCTCTTCCTTCTTCAGATGATAAGTAAACATAGTACTCATTTATGAGCTAGTAGTGCACCATACTCCAAAGAAAAAAATGTATAACCTCTGTAAGTAGTTCCCGCATTCTGCATGCGTGACTATCACTCATTATAAAGCTTTGTCGCAACTGCGATGATCTGGGATTCAAAGGGTTGGGTTGGGTTGGGTTGGGAAAGATCAGATTGAATTTCACTTAAGATAAGTTCGTTTGATCTGATACTACCTTCCCTTCCAGATAAGTGAATGTAGATGTTTAAAAACAGTTACAACTTCAAGAAACGAGACAAGTGTTAATAAACTTTTTTGAAAATGTTTACAAGTACAACAAAAACAAACGAAAGTTTAATCTACAATATAC